CTCCTTTAGAAGAGTTTTTGACATCACGACCAACATCCTTAGTCATGATTAATGGTCCTGCAGGTCCAGTTTTACCTCGACCAGGTGTCCGTGTCTCAGAAAAATGTTCCTTTCCATTAATGGGCYTTCCTTTGAGTGTTTTATCTGCTTTCTCTGGCTGTTGTGTGCTTGTGAAAAGGGGACTTGCGTAGGTATGTCGGTGTCCCAAAGAAATTCTTTGTGCAGTTGTATTATCGTCGAGACYTCCTTGTTTGGTTGTATTGTCATTACCTTTTGTTGTCCCTGTCGAAACGTTTTGTTTTTGTCTGTTCTTTACTTGGGTCGTATCGATCGTTGGTGTTTTGGTTTTTATCGAGCTGCTGGCTGTCTTTTTTGGTGCTCTTCTTGTTCCTTTTTGATTCTTGGGTTTCGCGGTCACTTGATCCCTGTTGAAGCAACTTGCAACYAAGAATGGRGTTGGATTGCACTTGAACTCCCCGTGAGTCGGTTCGACACATGGTGATCTATCAAGCAGTAGTTCGTTCGAGTACAAGTCGTTGAGAGTTTCAAACTGCATCCCTTCGCTTCCATTGTAGGACACACTCTTCAAGAAGACCCTCAGTTTTCTTAGCCGTCTTTCATCTGTCCATAAAAAAAGGAGTGAATGCCTTTTTGGCTCTTCGATTAGAATATTTAAAGAAAAACTAAATCCGTAAAACAAAATATTACTAATTACTACTAAATAGCTTTGCTTTGTAAACATAAATAGCTTTGCTTTGCATAACTATGATTTATTGTTACGGATTAAATGCGTTCACTAGCTACGAGTGGTTGATAATATGTAGTCGTGAAGGAGTGCATTTACTAAATGCGTGAAACGCCTATTAGAGTGRCGTTCATAAACCCGTGAAAAAAATTGYAACTGAATGTGTGAAAAAGAGACTGAAAACGTGCATTGTGGTACAATAAAGYGTATTCCAATATATAATGCTATTGAACAACAAAGATACAAAMKAATGATCATGAAAYATTAGCAAAATACGATGCTTCACGCTTTTKCACAATRCATTCTASTCAACAAACGTCGTATTCYAACCTGTTTCAGATTTGTTACTTTTGCTTGTAAAACTTTTGTGCTCTGCTATTCGTAGCCTTCCTGATAAAAAAGMAGCCTATGATTAATCCGGAGAAAATCGTGTTGCATTAGACATTCAATTTATCGTAAATACCTAAAGAGGAGTTCTTCATTTTTTAGATATTTGCTCGGATGATAGTTGCGAAGGTTTGATGAAGAACGCAAATTTAAACGCGAATTGTAACGTTCTGGTTTCCTGCACGCGCTTTGGCGGAWTCGGCACTACCGTCGTACCTTGCGAACCTCCTTCGAGTTATTTTGCCCTTGTAATAGTAGAAATCTTAGATAAAAACATTAGTCGACACATTTTTATTTCAAACAAGTTAGGGAGTATAAATGAAAGAAAAACAGAGATCCGTGGCGAAATTTAGTTCCATTTCCGGTTCCGTTTTGCGCTCTTGAGGACGAGGCGTGAACATAGACCAATCAGAAGGCAGCATTTTGGCGGGGAATTTGTTTGGCGCGGAATAACCAAGCAATTTTATTCAAAATTTACAACAAAGGAAACAAGAAGACGGTCGACGTTGCTGCAGTTTTCTTGGGTTTTATCGCCCGAATGGCAGTAATGAGAGATATAACAAATTACACTAACATTATGGAAGGCACTAGAAGTACTAGTCCTACAGTAGATAATGTTTTTGTTTCGTTTTCAACGCCTCGAGCCTTCCAAGAAGCAACACAACAACCGACTCGACCTGCACGTCCTCAACTAATGCAACTAATAAGCGACTCAGCTAACAATAACGAAATTGCTGCATCTTTGAATGAATTGGAACATGAAATAAGCTTTTTGCCATCTGGGTTGTTAACTCCAACGAGYCCAAATGATACAAATAAGCCCAATTTTCCACTGGACAGTTCTAGATCGTGCTTTGTCAGTCCCAGCAAGAAGCTGTGTGTTGAAAGAGATGATGAAACTCCCCTATACCAAAAACTACAAAGACTTTCAAAAAGTGACTTGATAGATATTCTAAGYACTCTAGTTTATAAGAAGCATCCTGAACTACAAGAGGTAAGTATTCTCATGTATGAGAGTTTTTTTATGGTTGCTTTGTTAGAATAATAAGTTAAGTTACTTGGCCATTGTTGTTGTTCGTTCCTCAAAGCATAAATATAGTCATTCCTTACAGTTTTCTCTTATTTATTTCAAAGGAGRTCATAAAACTTATGCCAACCCCAAATTTAMCAGATATGGAGGCCAAACTTAGGAAGTTAAAAAGAAATATTTATAAGGCCTTTCCATATCGCGGCAGCCATGTTGGATCAACACGAGATGTCTTCCATTATCGCAGAGCACATTCGCACATTTTAGAGTTCAAGGTAAGAATTGGGGATGCAAAAGCAGAAGATGTATTTATAATAGTAGTATAAAGAATATATTTTAGTTTCGGATTATTTTATGGAAGTAATATAAAAGCCTACAGAAAAATAAATATGCTGGAAAGTAAAATGAATATTAATATTTGAGAAAAATTTTATATTTAAAACATTGAAGAGAAAATTAGGTAAGGGATGAAAGACATCTTGCAGCATTCTTGAAAAAGTTTTAAATTACAAAGTGTGGTGCATGCSTGACTGTCTAGTGGTGAATAGTGGCTGTCTAAATGTTTATTTTCAAAAGAACAATAACATTAAAAAAATTAGGTTGGGGTTTTGGGTTAGGTTTGCAGGGGGGGGGTACTCCCCCAAAACTTGGCTGGGGGTGTGCCGCTGGGACCTCAAAACCCTGATCCTGTTCCAGAGTGAAATCGCTGAAAACTATACCATGTTCCAGAGTAAAATCGCTGAAAACGATACTCTGTTCCAGAGTAAAATCCTGCACTAGCTTGCGTGTAGACCGAATTTTTACCCCATGAATTGTTATCCAGCATCAATAATTCCAGAAGTCAACCCTGACCCTGTTCCAGAGAAAATTTGTTGAAATCGATACCCTGTTCCAGAGTAAAATCGCTCAAATCGATACCCAGTTCCAGAGAAAAATCGCTGAAAACGATACCCTAGCTGGCAGCACGTCCCTGTATAGCGAATATAGGGGTTAGGTTTAGCAATAAAAATTGTCATTTAGTCTCCACTGATAGGTACATAGATATGTTAAATGTTGCATCTGTAGTCTTAGCCTTTGAAGTATTCTACCTTTTGTTTGTGCTACTTGACGGCATTGGACACATTACTTAAAAAATATAATTATTGTAATGTGTCCTATGGCAACATATGCATGTTTTCATGCAATAACAGGCTCATATTCTTTTTAACAGAAAGAGTGCATAAGTCAAGGCAAAGAACTAGTAGAGTGTAGGTTATGGAAGACTACAGTAGAGTATGTACTGATGGCATGGTCATATATCAATGATTTGCCAACATGGGATAGTCCATCCCATAATTCCTGTAAATCAGCTTGTTATAAAACCTTAGCAGTGCATTTCCACAAGGCTTTAAATGAAGGRTCATTCAATACACAAGAATGCCAACATCTCAAAAAGAGGTAGGCTTTCAAATACTTTACTCCACAAATTCATTTTCTCAGGTGGTTTTTGAAGAAAAAAGTTTCTTTAAAATGTGAATGAGGAATAAAAAGGGGTCATATTTACCTACTTGGTGAACAGGTCCACTTACAAAAGAGGGGAGGGGAAATGAGAAAAGTAGATCTGTTTGCAGAGTATTAATTAACTTAAGTTGTCCAAGCATGTTCTATGGYTGCATTTAAAATAACTGCAAATGTTATTAAACCAAATGTTATTAAATGTCATCTAGCATCCCAAACTCTACCCATGGATTATGGTAACATTACATGCTATACCTCATCTGTATTCTCTTTTTTTCCAGGCTTGAAGAAGCATGTGCAATTAACAAACACCTTCAACCATGCTTGAATAAAGTCAATCAATTATTACTAAGACAATAACTACTAGTTATAATTCTCTAAATAGTTAAAAATATATTTAATAGGTACAATTTTTAGTACTCAAATATAATTTTTTTACAATTGTTTACATTTAAATATATTTGCATATATTTTTGTGAAAAATAGAAAAATCAATCTCAAAAAGAATAATTATCATTTAAATTTTTTTCTATATTTTGAATTATATTCTTTTGATGTTGTGGTCTTAAAGGCCAGGTGAATATTTGATATTTCCTCAAAGGCGTCTTTCACTTTGTAGTTACATTTTAAGTACTTTTTTTAATAAAGTGTAAGACASTGCAGTGTAAAGCTTATGTGGTGGTGCTATACATTCATTCCCATGGATTTTGACAGAAATGTAAACAGGAAATATAACTGTTAGAAATATGTAGAGATATATGTGTTTACTTTTTTCTTTAAAATAAGCAGATAATTTTGAGAAATGTTATCTCTTGTTTTTCATTTGAAATTAGTAGGTWTTTACAGAGCTTCTRAGGGAAGCCCAAATTTTTCTGTGCTCTTCAAACTAATTAGTAMAATTTAATGATTGACATCTTTTTCCAAAATGGCCAGCACTCTCACACCTGTGAGGAAAATCTTTTTTGACACAGTAATATTAAAGTATATGCTTGACTAAAAGCCATGAAAAAACCCAGTAAGTTCCAATAAATATTTGTAGAGATGAATTTCCTCAAAACTGCTCAGATTTTATTTTACAGCTAAATGTATGGCTGAGGTATTAAATGAAGAAATGGTTTATGCGTTTCTCTTTGACATAAGCAGATCATAAGCAGATCACTTAAGTCCTATTAACTATGATCAGATTTAATATGTACATACTAGATCTCATTGAATTTTAGCACAGMTTCTGTGAAGTACGTACTTTAGTACTTTGCAGTGGTTATTTTAAATTGCCCTTGGGCAAATTTGGTAGGAAAAAAAAGCCTTGTGTAGACACGAAAATGTTGTGAACAAGCAAACAAGTCCTGAGAATAGATAGTCAAAACTTTTCAAAGAAAAAAATGTAAACGTTCTGTCAAGAGAATTATCTTTTGGGACGGCTTTTTTTTCTGAAGTCACTCCCAGATTTATTCGAATAAATTTTGATTTCAATTCACAGATTCACTAGGATTCAAAARAGAAGAAAAAATAATTTTGATAAGATTTAACGGCTAAATCTCAAGGAATATAARCTTACATGTATTTTTATATCTATYATATAAAGTAAAATACAAAGAAAGATGACAAGATAATAGAGGAGATCTAAACACGGATATTTGGATTACTAAGCTGTATGTTTTAATGATTTTTACATGAATTACATAAATAAAATTTCAGAAAAATATAACTTACAAAATATTCTGTAAATTTACCCGCAAAACCGGGAAGCATCTGACGCATATCGCTAACATCTGTTAGAAGAGTCAAGCCAATCACGATCGATGTATGGAGTCATATTTCCATTTATGGTATTGATTGACAGGTCGTTGACGTAATGGTGAGGTAAGCAGAAAAGATTTATTATGTGCAGGGCGGCGGCCTCCCCAAAGCTTCGTCGTACAACGCTTGTGACGCAAGGTGACGCGTCGATGTCTTGTTCGAACTCGAGGAAGAAACACAACGACACACTGGCTGCGTAAAGAAATAAGGTGACGTAGAAGTGACGTAGCATTAAGTTTCATTTTCTTGCTTTCCTAGCTATAACCTGGTGGATTTTTGCTGAACGATCGACGACCCTTCTATGTCGAATGTTCCCCTTGTGTTCCCCAAGCAAAATTTCGTGATTGATGCCTTTGTCATGTCGCTTACAATGTGGCTTTCTTTTACTACAGAGTTTGCAGTTAMATCGAAGGTTTACTACGATCAGCAGTGGGCCCTTCCTGTTCCCTGGTACATCTTGGTCAAAATTCAAAGGGAAATATTATGGAACAAATCGAAGACCATTCACAAGTAACTGAAATCGAGAATGGTACTGGCATAAGTCAAGGTAATCCATCGATCCAACAAAATTCATCACAAGGAATACAAGGCCAATCGGTCATTCAGACAAATCAACAGTCCGTCATACAGAGCCCCCCTTCYACAGTACACCCTTCAATACAAAACTCACTACAAGCTCAGTTGCAATTGAACCAACAAGCAGTTCAAGTCCAAGCTGTTCCTGAAGGTACAGACGAGAATGCAATTGATGAAGACAGTAAGAAAAGAAGAGATATCCTTTCAAGAAGACCGTCCTACAGGTCAGTCCATGTTTGATTGTAGGCTTARGCTTAACTCCATACCTTTGTGCATTTCATCGACAGTACGAAGTGGAAWTGTTTTTGTAGGTTGTTTTACATTTTCATTAAGAGTTTTTCCTTTCTTTGAACGAGAAAGTTGATACTTGTAAATCGTGCACTTTCCTCTTTCGATTTTCCCACTGTAMGCGGCTGACGTGATCCTATTACGACAAAAGGTAAGGGAAATGACGCGACACAGCCGTGTTTACGAATGACTATCGAGTTCAACCGCTTCCGAAATTGCCAAAAACGAATCTTTTTACAACCATTAGATATCTACTAAGTAAGTTGATTCTTTTTTCCTGTATTGTCCGTGTCTAAGCTTATATTTGCAAAGGAAAAAATGTTGACTACTTGACTTAGTTTGAGTGTTTTACCAAGAAAGAATTTGACAAGAATTTCAGATGCAATATTCAAATTCAATTATAGTGGGCATCGTTTTCATTTATACAGCAATTCCCCAATATCGAATTCATATAACTTAAGTTAAAAGTCAACGCGTGTTATAGTGTTAATCAAAAGATTGAAAATGTCCATTCCTTTCCAGGAAAATCTTTAACGACCTGTCGAGCTCTGACAGTCCATCAAAAATCGAGACTATTCAAGAAGATAGTCTAGAGGCATCAGATCAGAATATTTCTGCAATTTCAACAACAGCAATTACCTATCAGCAAGGATCACAAACAGTTACTATACCTGGAACAATACAGATAGTCACAAGTGGTGGAGAGGCTGTTCAAGGACTGCAGGCTATGCCAATATCTGCTGGCAGTGGAGGAGCTCAAGCAACAGTAGTACAATACCAGGCTCAACAGGTAAGTAATATTTGATTGAATATATAACCTTAAAGAACGTTTCCAAGATGCATAGGGACTTTCACAGGTGTAAAATTGATTGTTAATTGAYTACTTTTGCCCTGAAAAGCAATTTTGTCACACAGTGGGAGTCTGTACTGATTGCATGCTGTAACAACCCTGTAAAAATATTGTAAAACATTTTATATTATTACATTTATAAGTGACYAGATTGCTGTTTTCATCCATTAGGACGGTCAACAATATATTTATACAGCAACTCCAGGAGAGGTACAGGTTGGTTCGATTAAACTTTATAATAGCACATCTAATAAGTAGATATGGCACTATTATTATAATCAAAATAATTATTGTTTTTGGTGAATAACCAGGTTCAAGTTAGCAATACTGGTACAATGTATACAATCCCAGCTGGCCAGCAACAGTACATACGAGCTGGCCAACTGCAGCAAGGCTTGGTACTCAACTCAAGTGGAATGTCTCCAAATAATCAACAAGTAGTTGCTGAAGAAGCTACAAGAAAACGAGAAATGAGACTTATGAAAAACAGGTTAGTGCCAAATGACATTTGCCATTGATTTAGGTGGCTATTTCCTTAATATTTTTTGGTGCTGTTGTTGTTGTTGTTGTTGTTTTTTTTTCATGTCAGTATAACAACAGAAGATTCTTATTATCATTCAAATATTATTCCATTAATATTTGTCTTGATTGAATTATAGAGAGGCTGCTAAAGAATGCAGAAGAAAAAAGAAGGAATATGTCAAGTGCTTAGAAAACAGAGTAGCAGTTCTTGAAAATCAGAATAAAACTCTTATWGAGGAACTTAAGGCGCTGAAAGACCTTTATTGCCACAAATCAGAGTAATTAGTTGAGCAACTTTCAGCCTGCACATTTTATAAAGTTAAACTATTTAATAATAATGATGTCTTTGCTTTGCCAAAAACAATGACAATCAATTTGCTGACAGGTTAGCTCTTCAAGTTTTTACTTATGTTAGAAAGTTTTTGAGTTTTATGTTTTCTAAAGCAAGTAACGTAATGCATATATCTATATTTACAGTATATTTTGTACATAATATTGTAAATGCTAATTGAAACATTTTTGTTTCTTAAGCAGTCTGTACCATAGTAGCCTTCAATAATGTTTTTGTGGGGTATTAACATTATGTGAAAGAGCCATGCTCTCGCCAGGGAAAATTTGATTTCTTGATGATTTTGCTAGTTTTATCAATTATTTTCATGACTGAGGTAGATGCACATAGTAATTTATGTATTTTATTTTTATCACAATGACTCTTGTCAGTCTTAATCTTGTACACATTGACAGATTTGTGTTCTAGGAAATGGTGCACTAATTAGTATTGTCAAAGAGTATCAATGAAACAATCTGGTTCTTGACAAGGAGTCTCTTAGTAAAAGCGCTAAGTTCCAAGGTGTTTTTAATGCAAATAAGATTTAACAACAAAAAGAAAAGTGACAATCTGTTTGTGTATGATGTACAATATAAGTGTTAAAGTTCAATATAGAATTAAAATTGAACACTAAGATATAATATTATGATTGAAAAAAATGACAACTTTTTATCTAAAGAAAACACATGTCAGTTGGCAAAAGTTTTACAGTGTATTAATTTAAAAATAAAATTATTGGCCTGTAGCTTTGTTGTCCTGCTTTACCTTATTCTACATCATGGAAAGTGTTCAGGTTTTCTAACTTGTGAAAGCATTTTGAAAGAACAAGATTGCTAGCTAAAGTTATGAAAATCTTATGAAAGGCCTAAATGAAAACAAGGAGATCCAGGTATTTTGAAAGGAGGATGTGACCAGAATAGAAGAGTACCTTCAAAATTTGGTTTAGGAAGTTTTCATTTTGCAACTGACAATCTGATAGATAGGGTGAGGGGATCAAAAACATCAAGGGAACTACTGTACCTTACGAGTACCCACTGTTAATTTCTGAATTCAATTGTTGATCCGAGAAAAGTCTGCATAGTAGGTCCCCTATCCATCTTCATAAAGCGGTAACACCCTACCTGAACGCCTACCTGAACGCCTATCTGAGCTTTTCGTTGGGTCGCCTGTGTTATCAACTGCGGGACTCCTGTCTCAAAGATGGCGGCCGCTACTGAAGGAGGAACGGTGACYGTTCGTTTTATAAGATCCTTAGAATACAGAAACTTTAAAACTRTTACCTTTCACAATGTGGATTTGGATCAGACAACGGAGCAATTTATTTTCTTTGCTTTGAAAGGTTCGAGTTTAAACCGACTGATTTCTTCCAACTGAAATGGAAAAGATTCTTGCAAAAGAATTTCCCTCAAACTTTTTTAAGTAACTTATATAAACCCGCGATTGTTAAAAGCTCTGATTTCTTTTCTTTAAGATATCAAACACAGAACTGGCATTCCACCACCATTCAAGGCATTTGCTTATGGTATGTGTTATTATTTATATGTATTGACTGCTAAAAATCACCACCAGAGGATAAAATTGAAAATCAGTAAGTTAATAAGTAAGCTAATCAATTAAACAGGGCTCTGTTCGTGATACATGGGTTCAGGTCCCAATTCATAGGACTAAATGCAACATTCTGGATGGTCCCCCTGGGAGGCAGATAACAGAGGGTGATGATCCTCATTGTCTCCTTGATAATAATGAGAATTTCCACCAACTGAGTTTTGTAGTCCCTCTGGGTATAAGAGTATAAGATCAACAATGCTTCTCAGCAATTATATGTGAATACGAGCAGTCGGCATTTGGTGCTAGTGTCAAAATGCAAATAAAACCAAGAAATCAAAGTGGAATGACAGGTTATTGATTGACCCCTTTCAGGAGTTAAATTTCATAACTGTCACATCCATCATCTCACGATACCATAAATCCCTTTTAGGGGTCATTTTCAGAATTTCCAACAAGGACCCCCACCCTCTCCTGTAAGGGAGTCCCATTTCCTAACAAATGAAGTTTTTCATTGTCAGATACTTTAAAAATTCAACACAAAGCCCATGGGGCAAAGGTAAGTATAATTATTTTCATTTGTTTGTAATTCATTTGCATTTACATATAATTAAATATATCAATTATTTTGTATTTATCATTGTAAATTCATTTTCAGACAAATGATCCAATCATTCGAACGGATGATGATGAGTCATTGATTCTAAAAAGTGGTTTAACATTGAACGAGAGTGGTGTAGGTTAGAGGAAGTAAAATTTTGATCTGTCTTCATTCTGATCAAATACTGAATGAATATCCATGTTTTTGTTGCAGAAAATGAAACAGAATTGTCATTTTTTAAGTTTAAAGACTATTTAGAGTACAAAAAGAATCCTGTTCTCAAGTGGTAGAAGAATACTAATGTCATGGCCATCCATGCCAGATTGCAATACTTTCTGCCTTACAGAAGAGACAGAAGAGTTTTCCCATAATTCCACCCAATGGAAGGGGTATAGAATGGTGTCTCAGAAATCATGAGGCTCGCCAATGCTCCCAAGCTTGGCGCTTAAAAGAAAGGGGCTCTTTAAAACGAGGGGCTCGCAGTCTCAGTGAGGCTCGAATTTTACCATTGAATACCCCTAATGGAACATTAGATATGGCAAAAAAAATTCTACTTTTAGCTAAACAAGAAAGCAATGGAATCAAATTTATTTTTTTGGGTTGACATTTAATAACAGTCGTTCTAGGGATCAAAACTTTGTAAAAAGAAATAAATGTATAGATATCATAATAAATTTCAAATATATCGAATGATTCCCAGTTTTCCATCCCAACTCCCACTTCCAATCCGTTTTTCTAGTTACCAGGCTCCGCTCTGTAGATGAATTTTATAAACATGGCGGCAAAATGCGGGAATCCTTTTGGTTTTTAGTAAGCTTATTGCATGCTAATGTCGCGGAAAAAGGCAAAAAATATTCCTACTCCTCCGGAACCAGATAAAATAAGCAGTGAAGATGTTCATGAAGCTGTAAATGTTATACGAAGCCGCTTGTTCAAAGGAGAACCTCCAGAAGAACTTCATGGCCTCAGTGAAAGTATCTCGTAAGAACTAGAAATTAAGCTTACTTAAATGCTTACAAATGTTTTGTACTTCCTTTTTTGATTATTCATAATTTCTAGTTATTAATATGCATTGACTTTCAGTCAGCTAAAAAGCCTTCTTAGCCGTTGTGCCGAGTACGGAGAAAGCAATTCAGTTCTGTTGGTGGGACCTCGAGGTAGTGGGAAAACACTAGTAAGTTGTAGAGAATGTTTCTTTTTTTCTTTTTTCTTTTTTTTCTTTCTTCGTCTTTTTAATCAAGTTACCTAATAATACTAAGATCCTAATAATACATTAGTTCGGAAGCAAATTTATATACAAAATGCATAGCTGTCGTTTTTGGGATACCTGTGTAACTCGTGGACTGCATGCAACTAATAGAAATAAAGTGTGCTCTCTTATGAAAGAGTACAGGTGAGCATCTCCATACTTTTACGTACCAAATGAAATTTAGATTGTAATATATGTCAATATTAGAATATTTTTAAATATTAAAAGTATTAGTGTTTTATAGGTGTTACAAACTGTACTGAAGGATGTATGCAAGTTAAAAACTGTCAAGGACAACATACTGAAAGTTTACTTAAATGGTAAATAAGAATGCTGAATATTAGATCTTAGAATGTTTTTTTAGTTTTCTTTTCATGCAATGATGTTGAACTTCCATTTGTTTGTTGTACATAGGTCTTGTACATACAGATGATAGGCTTGCTATGCTTGACATAACAAGACAATTGAAGCTGGAAAATGTTGTAGGAGATAGAGTCTTTGTAAGTTTATAATAAAAATGTCAAACTATGTCATGAGTATCCTAAGTTAAGTTTGGCCATAAATATATCATCTAATTGGATCCGTTACTGATAACTAATAAATAGATTTGTTTTATGATTCAGGGTTCATCTGCAGAAAATCTTGCATTTTTGCTTGATTCTTTGAAAAGTGGTAAGTCTAACTTACTAAATTGACATCACTTTAATTATACCATTTATTTTTAACTTGCTATCAGTCACTCATATTGAGTATCATAAAGTACTGCATACATGTAGGAGCTTCATCAGAGGGAAGGCCTAGTCTTCTTCACAGGATATTTGAAATTCTTTATGGTCTTCAGCCTGTGTTGACCAATTAAGAACTTATTCAAAGATCCTCAGGGTAGAGTTACCAGCAAATTAGGCCAGGGAGGACCAAGATTTCAATATTGAAAAGACTAATACTTTTGGAAGCCCTGGAAGTTGATGTTATCACACAGTAATTAATAGTCAAAAACTCTGGTATAAAAATAAATGTTTTCAGCAGTTAACAGCTTGTTTTATATTCTTAGGAGGCCATGAGAGTCAATCAATTCTGTTTGTCTTGGATGAGTTTGATTTGTTTGTTCATCATAAGAATCAAACACTACTTTACAACCTCTTTGATGTTTCACAATCAGCACAGACACCAATTTGTGTCATTGGTCTCACTTGTAGATTAGTAAGTCTAATTATTTCATAATAACATCTTGATATGAATGTTTATTGTCCAAGAATAGCAACAATAATTATTATAATTTTTAGGATGTTGTTGAATTGCTAGAGAAAAGAGTCAAATCAAGGTTTTCCCACCGTCAAATCCATTTGTTCAATTCAAGTTCTTTTGGAGAATATCTTGAAATTGTAAGGTACATATGTTTGCTTTTGTGTCAACTCTATGGGCATGCTTAACGATTGATGAATTTCTTGATTTGATTACTTATTATTTTTGTAGGTCTGTGTTATCACTTCCATCAACATTTCCAAACAAAAAATTTCAGAAGACATGGAATGATGAATTAGAGGTAATCGTTACCTGCGCTATTCACGTATATGCTCGGAATCACTCAAATGTTGCATGGCAAATTGAGTTTTTGGATTATTTTAATAAAATATATTTTTCATTAAAATGAATCAATTAAACATTTTAATAAGTGTGTTCATGATTTTTATAGGCTTTAATAGAAAGCAGTGAAGCTCAAGAAGTTTTACGGCAGCAGTTCAACATTACAAAAGACATCAGGTCTCTACATAACTTGCTGGTGAGAATGGTTAAGAACAAAACCAAGATTTTTGGGAATGGAGCTTAAGGTTAAAAGCTTGATTGAGTGGCCATTTTTTCTGGAAACTCGGTTCTCATGTTGTTATTTATAATGAATGTTGTTGGCTGTATACCCAATTCTGTAAAGGAAAAATAATTTTCAATTAAAAATATGTAATTTTTCAAATGTTTGGTAGATTCTCCCAGTGTGCAGCCTGAATATAGATCATCCATTTCTAACACCAGCTGATATCCAGAAATCCAGGAAGGACCATTGCATTGATCACAAACAGACCATGCTACATGGTAGGGTCATTAATTTGTAATAGTGATACCAGGGTAGCATATTTATCTGTACTCTCTCAATCCATAAAACACACATGAATATAAGAAATTGATTAGCCAGTCTTTTTGGTACTGTATTTCATTGTGTCCAAATGACACACCAAAGCTTAAAACTGATCTTAATAAATTGATGTTAAATCTCTTCAAGGTTTATCAGTACTTGAACTCTGCTTGATTATTGCAATGAAGCACTTGTTGACAACATTTCAAGGAGATCCATTTAACTTTGAGATGATATTTAAAGGTAAGGACCATGTTTATGTATATTTTATATTCATACTGTTGATGTATGTTTAAGCTTAGAAAATAACTTTAATAAGTATTTCATAATAGAATACAAAAGGTTCACTCAGAGGTCAGGACATTCAGCTCAATCATTTGACAAGGATGTAGTATTTAAAGTAAGTTAAGCTTTTATATACTGTAACTACTGTCTTATCACAAAGAATATTGTTTTGCAAACAATAGTATACAAAAATTTGAATTGTCTTCCTCATGATTCCCTGCATCACCATGAAAGGTAGCCATACTTAATCTGAATTGAACATGTAATGATAGAAACATTCTGTCATACAATGCTTCTTTGCAAAGGCATGGCTAACATTACCTTTGAAATCCCAATGATGCTACTTATCTTCCTCAGTGAAACTTGTCTTATTGGCTTATTTCTTTAGGCATTTGAACACTTATTAGCCTTAGAGTTGATAAAACCAGTTGATGGAGCTTGGAAACATGTACAAAAGGAATATAGACTTGTAACCTTGTTACTCAGCACCAACCAAATTATGGAAGCCATAGATAACTATCCAGAATGCCCTACTGATGTACGACACTGGGCAACCAGCAACTTAGAGTAAAGTCTTGGTCATGCAGCACTTAGTAAAGCTCAGGGCAAGTAAGAGTAAATGATAGACCAGTTTAATAATACATTTGTATGGATAATGTACATGTACAAAAGGTGTTTATAAGCAGTCTATGTAGAAAATGCAGGTTACTTTCATCGGTAGTGTTACAATGATTTTATGCTTAAAAAATACTTTGTTTGATGTCATTGCCAGCATAAAATGAAAGGGAAGGGAAAATTAGCCAACATTTTGTCCAAATAATATTAACTGAAAAGTCATCCATTGTTTTCAAATCATCCATTTATTTATATCAGAAATAAATAAATTATATCTATGCTTGCTACTGATCCTTTTTTGAACCGGTTTCAACAATCACGTCTGACTGAATCAAAAGGCATACTATACCAATAGCCCTTTGCCATGCATATACCTTGGCTAAAAAGTCATCAGCCATGGGAAATATTGAACRYTGGTTTGTATCATCTGAGTGCAGCATGTCTTCTTGCAGCAAGTTGTTGACCTTAGTCAATGCCTGACCATGGCAAAGAACTGTACCATTGTTAAGTATGAGAGTAGCTAGAAACTCTTGAAGTCCATTTGCAAAAGCAGAATATACAGTTTGTCTGTAAGAAGGCAGACTTCTTTTTATCCAACTTGATGATCTAATTTCTTGTAACTCTTCCTTTTTACCTGAAAATGTTTTACAGCTATCATTAATCTGTTCACTTGACAAGTAGAATTAAAACTGAAAACATATGGTTTGGATAGATGATTATTATGGTCTCCTAACTTACCATATATCCAAACTTCACATGTTATTAAAAAAATACAATTCCTTCAAGAATAGGAAAACCAGAGATTTAGATACCTGCTAAGAGTGTGAGTCTTTTTATACATTCYAGTTCAGTGTGACCTCCCCCAGGTAAAACACRGCCTTGACTGATAGTGTTTTTCAATCGTGAGATACAATTCCAGAAAGCAAGTTCAGATTCCAAGAGTAGATGCTCTGTTGGTGAGCTGAKAAAAACTGTCAGCATTAATGTCTCATCTTGACCTTCACTGGTATTAATGACAATATAAGAATCTTTTTCTAAAGAMTTTTGTCCAGGAAGTAACCAATGACATATGTTGACTGGTCTACCAATGCAAGATTCTCTGAGGTCTGTTAAATAAACAGTAATAGCTGCACCTATTGACACTGATAGTAGTTTGAGTACTTTGGGAGAAACACAACAAACTGTTAGAATACCAAGAGACTGGCACAACTCCTTGAGATTGTTGTCAATGTTTCCTCTGCAAACTAATGCTCCTACATTGTAGTTTGTCATTACTTTAGAAACCTTATGAAGCCAGGACTGGTCGCTTCCCTGGGACATATCATGAAAGATTTCTTCTTGAAAAACTTGTTTTACATGGAAAGAGTCTTTATATCCAGCATGTCTGAACTCATTAGTAATATCACCATTYACCAATGCAATGYTWACATTTTTCTTTGARAGATGCTCCATCTTTGAAGTTGTTTTCAATAGTATWCCATTGATGACTTGTGAGTGTTCACTTTGTGGACCACAAACTGTTTCAATATGAATGSAATTTTTGTCTACTTCAAATTTATGAAAGGCTGAYTTTGCTTGATTTACTTGAGCAAAGATCACATCAACAGCCAAGTCCATTACCCGTTGCTGTCCATGGGATAATAKATTTCCAAGCATTTTTATATCCTCTTTGTTGTTTAAATCAAACAAATTAATATTTCTTGTAAAATATTTATTGTGTTGTTCATWTGCTACATTATTCCCTTCAGCCTTTGGTGTATTTGGTGCTAAGTTACGAGATGTAAAAGAAATCCGAGAATAGTTCATTTTTGGCTTTGTACTTTTTGAACCAGGTCGRAATAAGTTAATGTTGTGGAGCATCTCATCTGTTCTTTTGAGAACAGATTTGTTGCTAATTGAATGTGATTGTGCTGTGTAATGTTGTGATGATGGAGTGCTGCTGGTAGATGAAATGTTATTACTACTAGAACTTGCAGAATCATCAAAACAGTCATCAAATTCATCTTTTTCCCAATTGTGTTGATTCAAAGTGTTGTGATGGTTGTCTGGCTTGTCCTTCATATCTATTCCTGTCCTTTTATTGTGATGAGCTAATGCAGTTATTGAATTTATCAATGCCTTATTCCCAATGGCCACTGAGCCAGTGTCTATTTCTTCAAACAMTTTACAAGCTTGATATTGTCTATTTGAAATGTCTTCTCTTTGATGAAATGCAGATCCATTATTCAAATTTTCCCAATGATAATCTTTTATTTCTTGCAAAGGTATAGCAAGTTCCTTCAGTACTGTGATAGATTCATTCAAAGCTTCATCAAAAAGCCAGGTTAAGACTGAAATAGGGGTGCCCTGAAAACAAAGTGAACACAAATATCAATCTGAGTACATCATTCCATTCTTTTTGGCTTCTTACATAGATGTTGGTTCCAGTTCAAGGCACTAAAGTAATGATTAATCAACCCTCAATATTATTATACATCCAGCTCTCTTATTTTAAAACTAACATGATAGCAATAATGTACCCTAMAAATGTTAAAAAGATTCCCATAATTTCATCATTCTCTTGATTAGGTGTAAATGCATTGGTTTGTTTTACCTGAGACTGTAATGCTGCAGCTTCTCTACTCCAAAAGCCTGCCATACATAAAAGAGTCTTGCATCCACTACCATAAGTCTTGTACATAGCCTCACAACTATCATTTATAACAAACCATGATGGATGCTAATAAACAAAACACAATGATTATCAATACAGACTCAACCTTGTATTAAAAGATAATGACTTGGAACATGGGCTTCCTGTGCATGATACAACAACAGYAAGTTGGATATCGTTTTAACATTTATGCAATGTCTCTTAATCCCAAATGTTTCTCATGTTTTAATGAGTTTTTGAGAATTCTAATCTTATGCATCACACACCTTAACATCAAGATGTTGAAGAATCTTGAAAGCACTGCTACAGATGATTACATCATCATCATCATCGCCAATACAACACTTCAGACTGTTGAAACAGTTTATTAAACTTGTCTAATTAATTAATTGGCACCGCATTTGTTTTGCATTATATTTTCTTTTGCCATGATTTTTGTTTAATTGCAAATTGATTGAATTTGTAAATTGATTGCATCTGTGAAATTTGTTCTTAATTTAACAACGTATCATAATAAGATTCATACCTACTTGAAGGCCCCAGTAGTGTCTTGATTGAAGCTCCTGTGATTACAAGAAATGAGACTTTATAAGTAGAGAGATTTAGTCAAATTTTAAAATGTTAATTTCAAGCAATGAGTTTTGACAACTTTCCTCCAACGCAAAACAACTAGTAAAAATAATAGTTAAGCCATTTAAAATTGAAGAAATTGAAACTATATCTCACCAATAGCTTGTACTACTTGTARACTTCCGCTTTTAACRGTAGTGCTCATTGCTGCGCCAAAAAATCTTAGAAAAYCGTTTTCATTATGTTTTCACTATCCGTCCGCCATATTGGCCGTTTTGCTGCACTGTAGACTGGTAACGAAAGTTCGATGTTGTCCGACTAATTATCGATCGCTTATGACGCAATTCGGAAGAAATTGTCCAAGATGGCGGCTGGATCGCTTCGAGCTGTAAACAGTTTAGCTCGTTTGCCGCTCAATAACATAAGGATTTGCTCAAGGTAAGTGCTAAAACTGTCACATCAATGACTTTTCTTTGTTATTACTTAGTGAATTTTCTGTTTCTGTAGATCACTACATGCTTCTGGTCGCTGGCGACTACAGGCTGTGACGTACAAGCAAGACAACAACATAGACCAAGGAAAAAATTTTAAAACCAAAGATGATATTCATTTAATGCCAAATAGAACTGTTGTAATTCCAAAGAGAACAATACTTACTAGTTTTATACCAGGACCATTAAGATCACCACGAAGAAAGAAGTATGCTGAGAGAAGACTGTTGGGGTATGTCCGACATGATATGCGTTGCAACAAAATTTAGCTGTTATATCAGTCACGAAATAATTTTTACCAGCGGCAGAGAACAAWAATCGAAATTTCAGATATTTTTTCTTATCATAGGATTGTTGTCTTATGTAACCTAATAATTATTGACTTCATATTCTTGTATAATACTGCTATGTAGAGCAAATCTATGAAAAGTATGCATTACAATTCTAAGAATAGTATTTTCTCTGGACAGGTATTCCATGGAAGATATTTATGCTGTAGTAGCAGATGTAGATGATTACAAGAATTTTGTTCCATGGTGCAGAAACTCTTCTACATTTGGACGTAAGCCTGGACATTTTAAAGCAAGGATTTGTGTTGGATTTCCTCCTCTACTGTCAGAAAACTATACTTCCATAGTGACAGTTGTTCCACCAAATCTAGTCAAGGTAAGAAAGAGCTCTCTTCAACTGACTTGATCTTGATAGTCAATACTTTTCTTTACATCTAGTGATTGTACTGGTATGATGGTGTACCATGTATGTGTTAATGGTTTAGAGATTTGCAATGTAAAACACTGACTTCTGCTTAATGGCAACTAAGGCATTCAAACATATACATAAGCAAGCAAACCAAACAAAAACAAAATATAGCAAAACAAGAAAAAATTACTACATGAATATAAAATGTTTGGTCATCAGACTGTCACCTTGCACACAAGAAATAACCATCATTCCCACCWAATGATATATAAGGAACCTCCCTCACCATGGTGCAGTACTCTTGGATCATGTTAGGTAGCCAAGCAGCTACACATACTGCACAGTGTTTTTGTGTTGATAAACATTTTTCTTTTGATCTGTTTTTAGTCTGAATGTACTGATGGTGAGATGTTCAATTACATGAAAACTGTCTGGCAGTTTAGTCCAGGTGTCCATGGCAACCCAAATACATGTACTTTGAATTTTAACGTAAGTGATATTGATCAGTATCTTGTGACTCAACCAAAATCCTTCAATGATACATAGGTGTATGGCTATCTTGTGACTCAACCAAAATCCTTAATTGATACATGTATGAAATTGATTGGCAGCTCTGTATTCAATACAATAATTTTTTTCACAGGTTGAATTTGAATTCAGATCAGCTATTCACTCCCAGCTGTCAACAGTATTTTTTGATGAGGTTGTCAAAAAGATGGTCCGTGCATTTGAAAAACGATGTCAGTATCTGTATGGACCAGATCATTTATGTGAAGCAATTAAATCAAGAAGTGCACAGCCTAGTAAGTATCCCTATTTATACAATCAACTTTGTCAGTAAACTTTATTTGTGTTTTTCTATTTCTTTTAGATCCCAGATGACACARGCATTTCTAAATTCATATTAATGCTTGAATAATATACAATCWATACAAGAAAAGGGTACATGAAAACCATGTAGCTGATAAAAATATAAAGTAATATTCTTAAAATTATAAATATCAGATATCACTATCAAGTCATTGTCAGGTGGTTTTTATGTAATCCTTGAACAACACATTCTTATGAGAAAGTTRCATCAGAGATTGTTATGCTCACTACAACACCACTTTTATTGTGTAATTTCTGAAGGTGTGTTCACCAGTATAAGTGAAATGTTTAATAAAAGATCAGGCATTTTGTATAGAGAAACAAAAATAATCTCAATTTTTAATAGTTTTTGCCTGAAACTAGTTTGATTTTCTAGGCACATTTGCACTAGAATTACACAAAAAATCAGCTGTGTTTTCAAGGTTTTCATTTCTTACATTTGCAGAACTGCAACTACTTCAAATATATATAGTATGTATAGTAGTATAAAAATAAATATATTTCCAATGATTAGTAGCATTTGTTGACTTAAATTAGACAGGTAACCCAAGAAGAATATTCCCTGATATCAGAGACTAAACATTCAGTCCTGATAAGGAAATTGGATTCACTATTGAAGTCTGTGTCTTCCCCACACTCCTTATCAGTGCAATATTACACTGATACAGTCTGCATACTACTGCTTGACCATTCTATCTACACCTCACTTCATCTATCAGATGATTCCAAGTATGGATTGAACAAAAGGTGTCTGTACTTGTCTTGATTCCTTAAAAAGTACKTTGGGGCAAAGAAATGATCAGATTGTAAGTCACTGGAGGGCACCTCCCCCCCATCAAACCACTTGCCCTCTTTTACTAATGTTTTTATATATCCCAGGTCCATTTTTTCTGGTATACTTCCCCAGCGAGGGTAGTCAGCATTTTGCGCAGACATAAATTTGGTTCTGATACCTTCAGGTTTGAAACAACCTGAACAATGCCAACCAGCATAATATGTATGATCACCTAGAAACCATGCTCTRACRTTGTGATTTTCAGTGTATTTCTTTAATGCTGGATACAGTGCAGCATTTAGTCCATGTTCAATGTCTCGTATTGCATTTGAGTCATTTGAATAAACAGTTTTAAGCATTCCTATTGTGCAACCAATTGTAACTTGTGTGTACTGGTTGTTTTTCCAGAAATAACCRAACACCGAGTATCGTAGGCGAACTCCAAACGGTTCAGGGTAGCGATTGTAATATTTCAGAAATACTAGAGAATCATATGATGGTATTTCATCAATATCCATTACAATAAACAAGTCATCRTCTTTAAGATTATGTATATTCGTTAAACCCTTCTTTCCAAGTAAACTCCTGTAGTACGAATCAGCCTTCCATCCTTTCTTTCTCCCGCCAGTTGGGAAATGATCACAATACAAATACATTAGTTTAGAGTGAAACTTTCTCAAATATCCACGATGCAGCCTTGGTAGAAGTCTTAAAGGTTTGCGAGTTCCAAAAGCTGTGTACGAGGACTCCAATATAATAAATACATCAACAAGATCAAAATGTTCATTTAAAAGTGCTTCTAACATGTCAAACTCATGATTGAATAATACAGCGTAAATGATACGTCTTGCTGTTTTCTTGCGCAGATAGATCTCTCTTTTCTCTGCTGTAGTCATACTGTGACGCCTGTAGCTGTAGTACAGACAGTCTGGGATAGAACACGACTTGCCATGCCAGCCATCTCGACACTCGCACTCCTCGTACAGCATGTATTTTGTCCCTAGGTTCAGACAAGCGGTGTTTCGTGACATAGACCTGCTGATGTGGTCTGACATAGACTCACGCTCAGAGAGGAAAAACTGCCTTGGTGAACGGTGCATAAAAATCACCGATTTGTAACTGAATAAAATRAATAACTAGAGTTAACATAATACCTTTGAAAAATTAGAACGTGCCTATAGGCGCGCACGTGGTAATTACTGGACAAGTTTATATTATGGTGAACTAGTAACAGCGCATCGGGTGTACATTATGATCCGTGTACTTTCAAGCGGCCACTACTCCGCTAAAGCCTATATCACCGAACGTTTGCAGCTCTGCAAAAGAAACGTTTTTGGTGGTGTTGTGAGGAATGAATTATGTGAAGCAAACTTCACTAACCTCGATATTGTTTCATCTAAACTTTCAATTTCTACGTCTTCTGCATCTTGGTGGGAAGAATTTACTGAGAAGAGCAAGTACGTCGAATAAAATCCTACAAAAGCGATTGATATTTTTAAAAAATTGAGAATTGTTTTCACACTGAACTTCCCAACAATCTTCATCTCCAAATGTATCAACTTGACATGCGTGGTTAATATGTAACCCACTTATGAAGGATTGAATTGCATTTCGAAGGCTCTCCATATGACGGATGAAGTCCGCGCGTTTCTATAAAATGTCAAAAAAAATTTGTTCATTATTATAATAAAAATGACCAATGGTACCTTGTATTGTAAAGAACAATTCGAAATAAAAATTTCTATGGTGGGTACTCTTATCAATCATTAGAATAGCGCTAAAAATATGGTCAAAGCTTTGCAGTTACCGCTCGGGAGCTGATGGTTCCACAGTTTTCCCGATATGTTCATATGGAACAAAATAGAAAATTCAATTTTTTTCAACTAATTCTTTCAACACCTTGAAAACTTTTGTTCAATCTCTTCGATTTGCATTCATTTTGCGTGACTATTTTAAAAGCTGGAGTTTGTTGTTGTTGTTGTTGTTGTTGTTTTTCAAAACCAAATTTGACACTCTGTGAGCGTTAACTCGGGCTGTAGCAGAATGTGTGATTCCGAGCATGGGTCCACTTTCTTAGCTATAGGTGCATCTTTGTTTACAAAGTTTTGGTAGTAAGTTACTCTTGAGTCTGTATTTATTGTTGAATATATAAACCTCCAAGTTTATGCTGACTAAGCACGTACGCCATAGAAACACTGGAAGTAGTTTATTAGCTATTTTTAAATGATACAGTGATACAGGAACATACAATTGTCCATATTTTTGAAATAAATTACAATCGTTTCAGTTCCATGAACGTAATTGCCTCAATACACAAAGCTGTAAATAAGACACTGACAAACTTGCTGGCACTAAAATAAACATTGTTAACGTTAATACTAAACCTATCCTGGATAGCATGCTATGCAATCTCCCTGTCTTGGTCAAAACAAGTCACTAAAATTGATGTTTCCTCAGCAAAGATATGTTTGTTTGCCTAGTATAATTTCTTTCTTTTCCTTTTTTTTGTACTTGATGTTGGGGATTGATGTGTTTTTATTAGTGGATGTAAATTGCGTGTTATCGGACCTTTTCTTATGGCTGGATCCACATATAAAAATGTATTTGGGTCGATACAGATCAACAACTATATGGTTCAAAGGGACGATAGCACGACGTCAGACCTCATTGTCTCATGGTGCATATGTGAATACAAATAACTTAGACAGTACTATATAGCATCGTTTTTGCGATATGTCCCTGTAGTTTCAGTGTKTTCGTTCATTTTCACTTCACCGGACCATTCCTGTTTCGTGCTAGATTTAAAACATTTACACAGTTTCATGTTCCGAGATTCACTGATCCAGGAWCCTAAGGAATTAAGAATACTAGCAGTGAAACTTAAGCCAACCAGCATAAAAAGGATCCGTACCCAAATAAAGGTTGCAGTATAGCCTTTGCCTGGTATGACGTCACCATAGCCAATAGTTGTCAAGGTAATAAACCACCCATAAAYTCCCTCGAAGTAATCTTCCTCGATAGCGGCAAAAATGAGAATAACAAGCCACAGTAGWATGAATGAGRCAACTAAAGATTTGAACTCAGCATTTTGCGCTTCTGGCGTTTTCTTGATTTTCTTTTCAATGATTACAATTGCAGATCGAATGAGCCCAAATAGGGCATTCCCYGTAGCCTGCAGTAATAGTGCAACCAGCGGTATTCCAAACAARGAGTAGAAAATACAGAATACACGACCACCAGTGGTCAATGGAGCGATGACGCCATATCCTGTGTAGTAAATAAGATTTGCAAACAATAATTTATTTATTTCAGTAAAAACGTTAACAAAGCATGTGGCTGCCAGCGATACCACATTCAGTACAGCCGTKTGTTCTGAACCAATCAGGTTCAGTGTGATTGGCTATAAAACTTTTCATTCTAGTAGCTAATTCTTAACATATCGTCGGTGCCATTCATATAAAATTAATCATTTTAAAAAGTAATCATTTTATATATTTGTTTGCTTTACTAAGTACATAAATTTCACTAACTTCGCTAAAAGCAGCCTGTTGTGTTCATAAAAAAGTCTTTTTGAAAGAAACTAAGTAAAAAAGTGTACCGTAGCAAAGGCAAMATAATCCAGACAGATAAAGTCCATGACGTACATGTTTTAACTATGAATGCAAAAGTGTATCGTTGTAATAAGCGTCGGTGGCAGGTGTGCGTGCATATTTTTTTCAGCTTGAGCGCGCTTTCTTTCAATTCTTATTGATGTCTTGGATTGATATCGTGCCATTCGAAGGCATTAAACAGTTGTTTACAAAAGAAAAGCACRCAGSTAAATACAGTTGCTCGATGTTTCATCTTCAAATCAAAACCTACAAGCGTTCAATCGATTCTTTGGTGAACAAAAGAGATGCCGCAAAAACTACTCTATCTTTCAAAAAACACTCATTTTAAACACCTGGCGTGTCATAAGAATTGTCTTCTTAATAAAACCATTGTCAGTAATTATACATTATAGCGAGTAGCTTTGCAGTGAGTAAAGTTTTTCCATAATATCAATCCATTGACATTGGCACATAAAAACTATTGTATGCATATATGCACCCTACCATGTATAAGACAAGATAATCTAATGGTTATTCATAAATTGAGCTGACACCACTTCTATAATATGTTAAAAATGTCTTACCTATTGTAGTAATTGTTTGTAAAGATAACGCAAAAGCACTCGGATAGGTCCACTCTTTTGGATCGGCRGAATAAGCATCGGAGATTGTCTTCATGAAAATGTCAAACTCTTCTTTGCTGAAGTTCATCTTGCTCTGAATTGCTTGACGTATATCCTGTYGTAGTTTGGTTTTCTCTGCTATGATTTTATCAGTGTTTTCTGCTTCGATAGCTACAAAGATCACCATTCCAATGCTTAGATACATCGCGCAACAGACAAACCATAATATTATTGACGAAAKATTCTTTTTCCATTCGGCGCCCATGATTGATGAACAGTGGCTTTCTAGAGAATTGTTCTTATRCCTGTAATAATRCCAACCACCTCATCGACCCTTTTCCTTTAACACAARTACAACGTCTTTTACTACAGAGGTTATGAAGTAATCAACTTAGTCAAACCATCAGATGACCTCTGTCTATACGTGACACAGGGAGCCCAAGTATGCTAATGATCCGAYCATTTCCTGGTGTCTTAGCAACGATTCGACGTCTGAAAAAATACCCTAAAAATAGTAATAACATGACGTGGACCTGAAAAAGTTGTTTAACAAAAAGTGATAAGCAGATTTTCTAAGAATTTAATATACATTTCGCATCCGCAAAAGATGTTGAAAAAGGGTCCTTTGCAGCTGGTAGGAAGCGACGAAAGGAAGTAGTTTGTGTGTACATTGCAGATCTCAATTCAACTACATATGTAYTAGATGGTATAAGAAATGTAGCCATAGGACTGTTGTATTTATCTATACACTATCTCTGCAAWGCACCAAGTTGTATCGACTTAAAATAAGAACATATATATATAGAAGAAGGCCGAAGTGCCGAAACGTTCTAATAAAAGTAGAAAACCTAGTTACAAGTTGCGTGGCTTTTTCTTCAATTTATTCAATTTATATTATAAGCCATGTTTATAAAATCACTGGCCCCGAAACATCCAGGTACATAATAAAGAAGTGAATTTGCATTTAWGCTTCTTCACATCAGCTACTTTCCAAAAATACCACTGTCTCTGATTGGCTGAGACACGTTTTTTATTTGGTACAAAACGCACTTTCGAGAAGTCTAAATTACAACTTGCTTGTATATTTTATTATACCAGAAAAGGAAAACTATCACGCGAAATAGTGCTTGCGTTCAAGTATTCCGCGCAAYATATCGCGCATCAAAATCATTTGAAAGCTTATTTTGAAGAAGCAGGGTACGCAAAGTCGCTTGTTTTSTCGTCGGCCAGGTAACTGACTGATTTAGAATCGAAACTGAATATTTTAATGGAAATTGCAGAGCAATATTTTGAAGGTTTACGTACCGCTGTTAATGAAGCCTGTTAATGTTTAGATTACTAAAGAAGTGGCAGATGAAAAACTGTTACAGCTGGTAAGAAGACCCGAACGGTCCTTGCGGCATAGAACCTGCGGTTACCACAAAAATACCATAGTGACATTTCATGCCTTTATTTCTCACCAATATTTTTACCACAATATTTAAAACTAATTCAAGTCATCGTACTGATTGCCTTCTGATCAACAGTTTTTGTTTTGGTTGTCGAACGAGTGTAGAACTTGATTTAACYCTTCGCAAAGGCCTCGCTGTGTGTCGGTCTTTTTCTGACCTCTCTTGGTTAGCGTCAGGAATGATACACGACTCCTTTAACAGGAGGTCATCTTTAGTAKTGGGAACAATGGCACTCCATCCGCGTCCTTGGTTGGAATTGAATATTGCTGTCGCTAGGGCTACCGACCCAATCTGAAAGAACTTACTTTTTACTTGKATCTCGTCAAGAGAGTCTGCATGGCTTTTATTCATATATTTACTGTTTCTTGATATGAAGATTTTATTGTCATGATCAGTTGTTGTTGCATGGCAATCGACTTTCTCATTTTGAATCTCTGGGAAGGAAAACCGCACGTGTGAGTCTGTTCTTTTAGCGTTTTGCGTCATACGAATGCACGATTTTCGTTCGATTGGACTGTCTTTTGATGGTGTGGCGGGTAACCTGTCTTTTTCTGGCGGCAAAACTACTGCGGTTTTTCTAGATTTCTTTTCTTCTTCCCTCGCAGGTTGTTGAGTTACTTCGTGTGATATCTCCTTCTGGTGCGTTTTAGAGTTTTGACTGCTCGCACTTTTTGCTCTTGCAAGACTGTTAAGTTGATTATCAGTTTTATAACATAGTTTTTTGCCTTGTGAAGTCTCTGGAGGCTTCTGTTCTCGATTCAAACCATAAAGGTTAGCTTGTCGTAAGCTGCGTAATAAGCTTTTTTTTGCATGAAGAATTTGTTGGAGTTCTTTGTCTATATAACTTTGCTCTTTGGAAAACAAACGAATCTTTGCTTGAAGCGTTCTTTCTTCTAAAACGTTCCGATTTTGGATTCTTTTGCACTGCTCTGCCATGTCTAGCTGCTGTTATGATACTTTTACAACGTAAATACACCTTTTTGACCAAATAAATTAATTGAACTTYGTGTTGTACGACAATAATAAGTCACAACAATAAGTGTACAATTCTGTTCTTGGAAGTGAACAAAACCCTATAATCCTTGCCTTTATTAGCCTGTATTTAGATTAGATTGCAATCCGAACAAACAATTAACTACGTACACTAATTAATTAAAAATAAACATCAAACGATGCCGTTTTATTTTATTTTTATCAAAATTGTGACTCCATGAAGTTTTGAAAGGCGTTTTTTTTTAATTAATTTGCAATACTGGTTTCTGGCTTGAACTCTACTGCAGGCAATATCACTCTGCACGTTTGATATGCTGCAGTGTCCCAGGAGTTACTGATGATGTACCAACAAAAGCAGCATCACCCTCTAGGCAGCCGGTCTCAGAAATAGGGCACCCTTTGGGAGATATTGTACTTAAAGCAAGTACTTAATTAGGGCAAACAAAACAAATAAGACTTATTTTTATCATAATAAGGATTAGTTAATCGTGATTTAGTTTGGACAACAAACTATAGGTTAAATTATTTTTAGTTTGCATAACCCTTTTGTAGAACAGGTAGAGCTCAGTGAAAGATAGATTCAGTGACAAACATATCGAAGGCATCGTGTCTGCTGTTTCCGGATGATTGTTTACGGATGATTCCATTCAAGTTGGAATGGATTACTGGTAAATACACCCCAATTCTGTGCAGTCAAGCCTTCATATGTCGTAACCATTACCCTCTAAAGAACGGCAGTKATACCAACAAATTTTGGCGCGCAAATCAATGGTCACTTCTGTTGACAATGTTGAAGTTTATTTCCGAATTGTAGTCGTATCACAACATCATCCGTTTTTAAAAGATGGTTCGATGTCTTACGCTTTTGTCAAATTTATAATCAGATTTGGAGGTATGAAAAATACCCTGGGGGATAAAGGATCATCTATTAACAGTAAACATCCACTTACTCTTAACGTACACTAATTGTTTTTTTATATTTCAAAATTCCTTTATTTCTATAATTCAATTTGCATTCATTTCTACAAATTATTTCTAWTTTCTTTACAACGCTAGAAAACTCAAGTAAAAGAACAAGCGTTCATGGATCAACCTTGTTCACAGGCCCTTCGCTTTTAAGGGCTTGAAAGAGCTTGGGAACGAGGTTGATSTTTGGGTACCATTAGGGTGGTMATTTCAGAGATTGTCAAGATCGGGATCATCACTTAATTCTTCATTATACACTTCTTTCCTGTAAAATATTTAACATTCAGTAAAAACCAAGAAAGTTGTATGTTCAGCTTCAAATTAAATTTATTGCATATTTTTAGATTATACTTGCCGAGACGAAAGACTGTATGGTTGTCCATAGTCATTCAGTTCATCATCTTCATCACTTGTCAAATCTTCTCCAAAAGCTCTTTTGTCATATTTTATATCGTCATCGTCATCTTTGAAAACAGAATGAGATTTAATCATTCACTACTTAGTTGTAAATAGTGCTGAATAGACAATAAAAAAGCAATTTCACAGTATTTTGAACTGGTTACACAGGGCCAGCCAAGTTTGTGGGTGCCTACTTGCTATCCAGTATGAAGTCAAAACCAAACTGACCAGAAATAACTATTGTACATACATTGCTTGCAATGATTGGTTGATATGAGCGAAAAAAAACGTACTTTAATGAGAGCATAGAAACACGGCTTTCAGCGAATGGAAACACAGAAAATATCTAATTGTGATATACTAACCCATTCCATAACTAAAACCAAAATCAGGCCCCATGTTCATCCTACGTGGTTTGGTTTCTTCATCAGATGACCAYGTCCCTTCATCTGGGTARTCATTACGCCAATTATTTTCATCTGAAATTGCATTAAGAAAAACGTTTAAATCATAAATCATCCTCTGTTCAATGTAKCAGAACAAAACAAAATCAATACCGTTAGAATCATCATCATCCTCAAATGTTGCTTCAAACTCCCTGTCTGCTGTTTCCAGGTAGAATTCATCATCATCATCAAAGCAAGTAATCTCTAGACTTAAAAATCAGGAGAAAATAAAAAAAAACCTTGACTGGMAGTGATTTGATTAACAAGTTGGACATTGTTTGCTGTATTTAGCCTTTAAATTGTTACATAGTAATATTTCCTTGGGACAAAGCTTCCTGAAGTGTCCAAATCTCAAAGGTCTTAGAGTGTATTTAAACACTGTTTTCATATCAATCTTCAATTCTCAAACAGCAGCCATTTTGTGAAGAGTCTATTTTGTAGTTAGATTAAATAAAGGGTAAAGCTCTGACAAAGCCGTATGACAATTATTTCCTTGCACATCAAGTGTTAATAGGAGATACTTACACATCACCAAACTCTCGGTTGCTCTTTGGCGCATAGTAATAATCATACACATAATTTTCCTCTARAATGTCTGGCTTTTTGACTGAAAATCAAATTTTCACATGTTATTTATAATGTTGGGCTGGATGTATTTTCTTTTCCAAAMTGTCTGAGGACATTATAACTTATTCATTTTCTGAACTAAAAATATTACATATCATTTACTCAATCAAGAATATCATGTTAAAGTGTAAATAACACATCAAATACCTTCAGAAACAGCAAGCTTTTCACGAATCATCTTGACTGAATTACACAATATTGTATTTGTGTCTTCTGTTTTGCCCTCCATTGCTGAATCTCTTGTCCTTTGCATTGGATCAAGGGAAAAAAATCATTTGTGTCACATTAATAGGGGGGGTTCATAGTGGTACTGCACACCTCCCATTCCTACATAATGATACGATAATCAGCTAAATCAGTCTTACATGACATCCGATAAACCATTATCAACTTACAGTGCAATGCCATTACAGCAATACTGAAAACATGGGTATAAYCAAAAGGAGCATGTACATATACTATTTTTAGACAAGAATGTACTTGTATTGTAATAAATTATATACCTTTTGTCATCTTGTAAATCATCTCTCACTAAATCATAAACTGTAAACAATCTTCTCACTTCATCATCAGCTGAATCAGTAGAGCTGTCAGATGATACTGTCCTCTGTAACTTAGGGTCCACAGTTTCAGTTGATTTGACATCATCAGAACTATATAGAATGATGTTATGTTAGAGATATATAGAGCTACAATCAATGTAAGCAAGAAAAGGAAGATTTAAAGAAATATTCAGTGTTTAGTTATAATTTGTCAATATAAATATGATAGTTAARAAGCCAAGAATACACAAACCTTCCATCTTGTCGTAATTTACTGATGATACGAAACCTTGCATCACTATGTGACTCCTAATAAATAATAATAATTATTGATTTAGTTAGACAGTATTCATGAGTGTTGACATACCCAAAGAATAGAGGTATTCATACCCTTTTTGCTTCTCGCTTCATCTGCTTTTTCTTCGTTTGTTCTTTTATTCCTTTAGAATTTGTCTTAAAATCATCACGGATTTTGTTTTTTGTTTTAGAAACATTTATCTACAGGAGAAAAATAAAGGGATTAATGAATATGTAAGCAAAAAAAAAAAGAATTCTAGGGACTGCTCGTTAATCAATGTCAAGGGGGGTTGATGTTCAGATTGTTTCAAGCAGTAAATAAAAAAAGTACACCCCTAAAATAAAAAAATATTGCACTCCCTCACAATTATTTTACTAAGGAAGAGCCCCCCATCAACAGGCTTATTTGAGAAATGACCCCCCCTCCCCCCTCCTGTCTAAACACTACCCTGACCTTGACAATAACTGACAAGCTGGTTCGACTCAAAGGTCAACTGACATATCAATGAATGAACAGAGTGAATTTTTCCATCTCTTACCAATAAATCTTTACTTCTACTGTCATCTCTTTCATTACAAGTTCCCAATAATCTAAATACCTCATCTGTTTACAATGAAACCAAACAGCAATAAATAATACAAAATTATTGATTGGAAAGTCCGACTAAAACAAAGTACAATGTAGCTTAAATGCAATACTGAAAATTATATCAAAAATTTCAAACACTACTGTAATAGGTGTTAAAGTGAAAACACACAATGTCATATGTTAYAGCAGTAATAAATAATCCTTGTTTGAGGATGTAAACTTGTTCTCAACAATACCACACAAATTATCGCACAGAACGTATTCTAGAGTGTTGCAAAATGTATCTCACTTACTTGTCACATTATCATTAGTTGGCTTGTTTACATCATCACTTGATAAGTGCGCTTTCTTGGAAGGTATTATATGGGATACAACTTCAGAGAAAAGAAAGTTTAACATTAAAACACAAAACATGACGGAATTGAATTGATTCTCGTCTGCAGCTCGATTTGAGCACGTTTTTGAAAATCTTTCTRATCAAGATCAAAGTCTGCCAAATATGTAAAAAAACTTTCATTACGCTACTACATACCACACAGAAGCCCAGTTTCATAACATACCTAAAGCTTCAACTGCATCATCGGTTCTCTTTCGTTTCACACGTAAAACTACACCTTTTTGATCCGTATTAAGCGAGCATTCCAATGAAGCCGCCATATTTTGTTTTCATCTGATGAGTGCCCAGGCCACTAGAAACACAGGAAGCCCAAATGCAAGGTGTTTCAGCAGCTGGTATTGTTACGGGTAATTGTTGTGTTTTTATAATATTTCGGTTGGAAAACTTGACATTGTTTTGTCACAGAAGACACTAAAGCTGGTATCATCTTAAGTTACGATCACAAATCGTTTGATTTCTTCGCTTCTGAAAATTATAAAAAACAGTGGCCGCACCTCTTAGGCGACCTCAGGGCGACCTGTTGTTTCAAATGTCGTAGTTAGTAGTCCTCTCGAGAAAAGACACATTATGACAACTTTTTGGTGAAATTTACTGGTGACACAGAAATTTAAAGAAGAAACATCTAAGCCGTTGGGATTTGAAGGTTTTCTTGGCACTACGTCAAAGTAGAAAGTCTCATGTAGGTAATTGTGATCTATACTAACCCTGGCTGGATCTGTATGACATCATTGCATAACACTTTTTCTACAGAGTACCAAATTTCCCTTGGCTGTAGTAAATTATTTATTAGTTGAGCCACTTCTTTGCTTTGCCAATAATATAATATTTCAGTTTAATATGAAGGTGTTTTATACTCTAAATTCGAGTTTGAGGAGTTTGAGCGTAAAACAGTAAAAATACAAGGAATCGTATTTCCTTATCGCGCATGCTCATATATGATTTTTGGAGCCTATCCCACATGGTAGAAAATTTCTCAAAACTGATTTCTCGTTGTATTTCAGCCACAAGATGATACGACAAGTGCTGTATAACATTTTGTGTATGGTTKTGTTCAGTTCATTTCTACAAACGAGCTTTGTTTGTGCTAATGCTAACATCTCTGGAACAASCATTCTTATCTCTTTCGATGGTTTTCGGTGGGATTTTATGTCCAAGACAAATACACCTCACATGGATTTTATTGTTAAAACAGGCGTCAAAGCTCCTTACATCAACCCAGTATTCCCTGCAGAGACTTTGCCAAACCACTATTCCATGGTTACGGGACTCTATCCCGAAAGTCACGGGATCCTATCGGGATATTATACTCAKGATCCGGTTTGGAATACTTCGTTYAGTATGGATAACACCGAATCGCGATGGTGGGACKGTGGAGAACCAGTATGGATAACGAATCAAAAACATGGCCATCGTAGTGGAGTATGCTACTTTCCAGGTTACGATGTTAAAATTAAGGGGCTCTATCCATCCTTTTCCACAAAAGACTTCGATTATGGCAAGCCATTTATACATAGTAAAAAGAAGTATATGTCGTTTTATAAACAAGTTGATACAATTATAGACTGGATGAAAAATAAAGAACCGCCTTCTTTTATWGCTRCATACTTYCGAGAACCAGAYGAAACTGCGCATAGATTTGGTCCAGAGTCAAATAAAGTTGTTGATCAGATTAAAGAACTTGACAAGGTCGTGGGGTATTTGCTAAAAAGATTAAATGAAAGTGAATTCCTCCAAACTACAAATTTGATTATCACATCGGATCATGGACATACATCATATAACACTTCGCGGTTTCTCGATTTCGATAAATACATTAATAGTACTGAGTACAGACGATTTGGTATCACAACTATTCAGATATGGCCGAAACAGAATCACACAGTTTCCGAGGTTTATCAAAAGTTTAAAAAGATGGAAAATGAGACAAATCATATTTCAGTGTACAAAATTGAGGATTTTCCTGAAAGATATCATTTCAAGAATAACCCTCGAGTACCACCAATAATCGCTATTATGAAAGAACATTGGATTGGAAATTCTAGTGGATTTTGGAAAATATGGAAAAAAGAGAAGAATGGCTCGATAAATGATATGAAAGGCGACCATGTTTACCGTCCTGAATTACAATCAATGAAGCCATTTTTTATTGCAAGAGGACCAGGATTTAAAGAAGGCTTTGTATCAAAACCATTTGAAACCATAGACATTTATCCTATGTTGTGTTATCTGTTAGGTGTCCCCCCTGCTCCCAGTAATGGATCCTTACTAAGGGTAAAAGACATGTTCAAAGATAGCTCCACCTCACTGACATTGAGTGAAAGAATGGCTAGCTTTTTAACATATGCTTGGCAAGGATTAGTTACATCATTGTAATATATCTGTGGCAGAATGTGTCATAGTCCCGACTGGAGTAGTGATGCAACATTACGCGCTTAGACAAAGGCAGGCACAAAAAGGAACACTCAAACCAACCAAGCCCGTCCCAAATTACCTTCCAAAGTTCCTGGTCAAAGGCGAATCTAGAGGGGCCGATTAAGGAACCTCCCATTACAATTTAAGAGGAAATTAGTTCTTATGGGGAGACTTTTTTGAAAAAATGCTAAAGCAGCGTTCACCTGATGGGGTGGGGGAAGGGAGAGCTACAGCCTCCCCCTTCCTGATGCTCTGGATTCGATAATCCAGGTGTAGGAACGGCTGCTTACTATGAGCCTAGTCCCACATGTGTCACAAATATAGGTCGTAACTGTGATTTCCTATCAGACTAATATCAGAATTAGACAAACGCAACTAATAAAAACGGAGAGATCCTATCTTAACTGTCTGTCACATGATTGTTTTGAAATCAAAGTGCTTTCTTGAAAATACCCATTTGATCTGATATATTGAAAAAGTACCTTGTCAATTTTGATTGAAACCTTCAACATAACATACGCGCGCTATATAGCCGGATTTGGCGTTTTTAAGACAACCTACATGTTGTAGCTTATAAAATGAAGGAGGAGATGCATGCATTTTTTCTGATCTGATCAGGATCTGCAACCTTAGTTTTCCACTGGTATAACGAGAAGACTTATAGCGAGGTTAATATACAAACTGCTATTCAAATTTTAATGAATGTGCTCTAATTTCGAGAGAATTTCAATATTTATCAAGTGTGAAAGCTATATAATCATATTGTATCACTGTGTTTCCATGGTGAGATAGATATCAGAAAAGCATGTCTTTATGCCTCACAGCGCCCTTAAGATGAACGATCCGGTCCTTTGTTTCTCGCTTTAGGTGAAAATAGATTTCGTAGGGGGTTTCCATGGCAATTCTATCAGTTTCACGAACACAGCAATGAAAAACTCATGCTGTAAGAAATATATTCACAGAATGAATGCAATAAGTTTTAACTTGTAAAGTGTTGCCATGCATATTCAATTTCAAAATGAATTTCATGACACTTTTTAAAATTACTCATCGTAAAAATCGCCTCATACAGCAGTTACGATCGCTTCAGGCACAGTTAACATGTTTTATTTCAAGTCGGGCAAACCGTTACATATCTTTTATATGGCAATTATGACCCGGAAAGCAAAGGCTTAGTGGATCTTAGTGGATATCGACAGGTATCACGCACAACTGAAACTTGAAAGTTTTTTTTCCGGTTCGTGCTAAAGGAGTGTCGTCGATTTGTTTTTGCAATAATTGTTATTCAAATACATCTCAGCTCTACAACTAAAATATGTAGATCCTACGGCACATTTTTAGCTATAAAATTATAAAATCAGCTTCTTTCTGTATTTGCATCAAATAAAAAAGGTTTATTCTTTATTTTTGTGTATTAGAACAAAAACTAGTATTTCAAGATCGAAACTCGGTTTTCGTGATATCGAAATGCAAATATACGTGACGTAAGACAGCATGAGAAGGAGTAGAATAATAGGGCTTAGTAGCGATCACGAACCCCAGCACTGCTCCGCCCACGCGAAGAAGAGGATATAATATCAAGCCTAACAATATCACCTAACCTGCTGGTTTTCTTGGTTTGCATTTTTTTGAAATGATAATTTTCATGCAGACATAAACAAGGTGTTTGAACGACTAAGGCGTGTCCGCGTCCTTTGATCGGACATACAGTGAATCATACGTAGTTGGAATATTTCACGCCTTAGTTAATATTTTTGTTTTATTCATAAAAGTGATTGTTTGGTTCAATAGGCATGTAGTGTATATGTATATTGTAACAATATAGTTGTCCAATACATTAAGTCTCGATGCCCTGATTAAAACCCGTGGGAAAATGCAGTCAACTTTAATTGAGTCTAACTATGAGATTTTTTTCGAATTAATCAACATGAGCTTACAATCTCTTATTCAAAAATGTTTATTTCAATCACCAATGAACTGCCCTCAATAAACTTTTTATTTAATAACAGGCACTACAATATTTTATATTATGAAATTATAATCACTATCATAAAGTTATGATACTTAATGTTATAATAGATAATAATAGCATTTACATCTAGTAATAAATTATTAGTCTATGGTGATAACAATAACTAATGATAACAATTATTACAAGCTCGTTCCCAGGCCCTTTTTACTCTGTTGGCAGAGGAAAAAGGGGCCTAGAAATAAAGTAGCGATCTTAAAAAAAATTAAATTTCCTGTAGCAAATAAATATTTTTGTCATTGAAATGATATTTCATAATTAAGCATGAGATCATAAAATTACGTGGACATCAATGAACCGGATCCTTTTTCCAAGTCAGATCTAATCATTCGGCTAGTAGCGGCTAAACGGTTGTCGGTTCCACTAGCTGGCTTTTTACTTCAGTTCAGTGTTTTTCCCACATGCCATGCACTAATGTTAATGCATAGTCGAACATAATGAAGGTATTTTTAATGTGTGGTATCTCATTGGCAGCAATCGACGGAGTGTGACAGCAAAATGGAACTGGAAAGTAGAAGTGTGTTTCATTTTCGAGACATGAGACAGTTTTGTCAGATTATGATATACATTTTGTCTAGCTTCAGTACAAACAGTAATTAGTTTATTTAAATAAAGTGGCATGTTACTGTTATTGACTGTATTCGCTGTCTATCTAAATGTTTCATACATTATGCTTCTTTCATACATAATTCGTGGAAACAAGTCATTTTATTGACTGTCTGCTTTGCGGCAGCAAGATATTTTCCAAAATTTTTACAAATGCTTGTTTAAGAGCTTAAGCAGCTCTTTATATCATGYTTGGCAAATATTTGGTTTGATATCAAAAAAGCAATAACCAGGAAGGTTTGTTACACCTATTCAGCGGACGCGTTGAGATTGTTTGTTTTACCACATGCTGCCTCTCATTGTAGCCCACGAACAGGTAAAGGACTCAACTACAGGTCCAAAAGAATTACAAAAGAAACAACCTGAAATTCGCTTGTTATCGCTGGAAAAAAACCTCAGAACTAAGCATAATTTGCTTCAAAAAAATCCTTCGATTTTCGAGGGAATTCCTTCTCAAGTTGCTTTTCATCAGTTTCGTCAAGGCGTTCCAAGCTGGTATTGAGAGAGTCTGAGTACTAAAACCGGTTTTTCAGTAGACCGGCGGTAAACGAACCGAACGAAGGAGTGTGAAAACATCGTTCGAAGTTTCCCAAGGGAGAACAAGGGATCTAACTATTGTTTCAAGTCCCTAACTTCAATCTGTATCAACAAACTATACTAACCTATCTTACAAAGTAAAGCAGTTTAAAGAAAGTCTTTCAAGGGATTTCATTATGGCCAACCGACACAAAAGTGGAGGTAAGTCAGACGGCATTTGTTCGCGATGACGCGCTGAAAGACAAGCCTTTTGACATTATTTTTAGTCTGTTTATATCTTATCAAACCTCGAAATACAGCGTAAATGAGCAAGAAATATCTGTTAGCGTTCGAGTTTATAGCTTGAATAGTTACTACGCTTATTTTCATGTATTTTTAATTTTAAAGATTCGTCACTTACAGCCACAGGATGAGCGTTCGCTACTATACGAGTTCATTCACATAAGAAGTATTTTCATCAAAATGAGCGCTTCACGTCAACGTTATTTGTACATTATATGGAATCTCATAGACTCGACCTTTTTTTTGCAAGACAAACTTTTTTTGGAGTTTTTCTTGGAGATTTTTAATCGAAAAGGAATGTGTTTTGTGGTTGAACTAGTTAAAGTGTTTTTGTTGTAGGATTTTTCGTGCCTCTATTATCCCGTTTGGGTCACAAAGGCCATTGAAGAATATTGATTGGCATCGAAATTTTCATAATGATATAATGCTAAAACTTGATTTTTATCATAAGACTGATACAAGTCTTTTGAATTTTTAACTTGACAAAATAGAGAAGTTTTGAAGCGATTTACCAATAGAATTCACTTCTGAAATATTTGTTTATGTGTTGGTTAGTCTAAAAGCAAGTAAATTGATTTTCAAAGAGCAAAATATCCAAATAGCAAACATAAGGAACAGTAAATAATTTGCCTGTGTATTAAGAATAAGTAGTTATTAATGCATAGGTGTTTTTATTGGAATATGAAAAAAATAAATGTGTTAGAAGTGCTTGTTGATCCCAGCAGGACGAAATGTCGCAATATGGCGCCATGAATTAGCATTTCGGAGTCCGTCTTAGGAGTTGTTTTGGTTCAATTTTAGTCGTCTAAGCGCGTTTGTTGGTGCCATGTCAATATTTCGATGTTAATCAGCTTTCCTGATTATAAATGTCCCATGCATTCGCCTTTATTTGGTCATATTTACTCATTCATAAATGACACTCAGGTAATTTCGTTCTGAAACTTCCGCGTAATTAGGTCATCTTTTTTGACGAAATTTCGTGAATAACAAGCTGAAATGTTGAATTTTTTTCTTGGATTTAATCTCTTTTCATTCACTCACATGTTGCGGCTTTTTCGGGTGTGAAAATTAATTACTGGCCCGTGAAAAGGTGTGACAACGTTTCACGGCAGCAAACGTGCGCACCCGCTTGATGAATACAAAAACTTTGATAAGATATAGAAACACTTGAAAACAAAAGTACTTGAAGCTGAAGAAGTACGATTCCAATAATAAACAACTTTATTTCAGTTTACTAATGGACTATCTCTCGAAATGCCTAAGATTTTATAAACGTTTTATTTATCAGTTACATAAGTATGTATTATTCTATTGCGGGAATCAACATTTTAACGTAAAATTCGGATCGGTCATTATTGAAACTTCCGCCCATTATTTGTCGAACACAATGGAACTATTTTGCTAGGAAGAAACGATTATAAGATTTACTTATGGATTACATGGATTAATATTGAGGTCTACTGACATCCTATTTTTATTTAGCTTTTGTATTATTTTGAATTTCAGTTCTTTTACGAGGAAATTATGATATAAGGCTCTTACATTTTATTTCCTTTTCACAACAAAATTGAATTGTATTTCAATAAATGCAATGTCACATCATGGGTAAGATTTTATAAGGCTTTGATGAAATCCATGGTAAAGACTTTTGGAACATTGTATCAATTATCAAAAAAAAAATACTTGTAACAAATTATATATTGCAACAAGTCTATATTTGTTGACAAGTTTATTGCAACAAGTCTATATTTGTTAAAAATATATTCATATTCATATTCATTATTGGTCAAAATTTACTGCAAAAATTATTGCATGCTATCTTGAAAGTTCAAAATAAATTGTTATTTGTTTTTTTCTGCATCATGGGGTGGGAGCTTTAACTACAAATCAACCAATGACAGGACAAGTTTACAAGAAATCTGCCCCTAAGATTGCAGGAAATACAAACAAACGTCAAACGGAAGCAGTCCTTATGCATTAATTTTTGCCTGACTTGTCTGATTAAAATAACAAAGGATTTATTTCCATCTTTAATATTTTGTCACCTTTATATATAGGTTGATTTGTGTTGTACTGTATTTATATTCAGGCTTATCCCTTCATATTTTGTTTTGTTTTGTTGTTATCATTTTTCTCTAAGACTGAACTGTTTAGTTTTAAAATATATCAACTAGTGTATATGTTCAGTGAAAATAAATATCTTCCTGTTATCCTTTTGTATTCCTTATGAGCAAAAAGATTCCATTTTTACGGTGAAAAAAGCTACCCTTTTCTACTTCAATCACAAAGATGGCTTCTGAATTTGACAAATAAAAAAAATTAATACTGACGATAAATTACTCTTCTCTTGGCAACCTTCRTGTCACTCAAGTAGTAGATCTATATCACTTATATCAAAGAGCTTAAGACATGTTGAAATTAATTTTTGAACAGTTAAACTGATTATATCTTGGAGACATATAAGCTTGTGTATGTTTGTCATCAAAACATGAAATTGTTTATAACTGTACTTGACATGAAAGCAGACATTCCTTATGTCAAGAAACCTATTTGACCTCAGCTACTTAAAACATAGTCTGGTTGTCTACAGCATTGATACTGGTACCTTTTCAGTGCTCTTTGTAAATAAGTTGACATGTTTTCTATACATGATGATAAACTTTACAAAAATCAACACTGTAAATCTGAATTTTATGGGTCTTTAACAACCAAAGTAATGTCACTAGTACTAACGATTTTTTGCTATTCTTTAATGCTTTATATTGAGTGGTATACATTTGTTTTTACTAGAATGGTTTGAGTCTGCAGAATCACCATCAAATGATACAGTAGAAACACCTAGAGTGTCAAATATCTCATGTTTATCAACGGAAGAGCCAGTTCCAGATACTCCAAGGTCAAAGATTAGATCAGAAGACACAGACTTTGTAAAACTTGCTAAAACTGGTGGCCACAAAGGTAAACTATCTATCATCCCTCTCTCCTTAACTGATTGACAGCAGTGGGAATGATTATGATGGTGATGATAATTACAAGATAGTAAATGATTCATGAGTATAACATTGCCTCCACTAATTCTCAAAACTGTTGATGATGATGATGATGATGATGATAGAAATGATGGTGATGAATATGGTAACAATCATGAATTATAACGCTGTATATACAGTCTGTATATTCCAATCATAGATGATAAAACTGGATAGTTTCTGAGAATATGACTTATAATGTACAATTTGTATATCCTAACAGCAGTGATTTTCAATGTATAGATCTGCTAGCTCCAACACCAGAAAATAAACCTCCTTCTCCAAGAAAATCCAGTAAATCAAAGAAAGATAATGCTGACTGGTATTATCAAGACAGAGTAAATAATAACGAACCTCCTCAAACACCAAGATCAAAAGTAAAGGACAGTGATACTGAATTTTTAAAGACAGCAAAAGAAGGTGGTCATAAAGGTAATGTTGGGAGCAGGTTTCTACTTTTATATAAAGAATATAAAGCTCTCTCTTTGTACATACAGTGAGGTCTAGCAAGCAGTCAGTTTCTCGTCACTTCCCAAAATTATCTAAATCTGATCAATTTCTTTACTTTATTTTTTAAATGTTTTTTCTATTTTAGATCTGCTAATGATCAAAGAACACAAACCTACTGACAGTCCAGTACAGTACAACAAGAAAGGCGGTGACTGGTATACACATGATGGAACTAATGGAGTTGATAGTGTTCCTTCAACACCAAGATCTAAAGTCAAAGCCAGCGACACCGAATTTTTAAAAACAGCTAAAGAAGGAGGTCACAAAGGTGAATAATAACAGCTGTAGATGTGGTCAGAACAAATTAGTTGCATTAAGGGTTATTTTTAGCTCTTCGTTATCGGTATAATGTAAAATACTTTAATTTTTGTACTGAAATATTAATGTTTCCCTTGTGTTTTAGCTTTACTGGAAATCAAAGAACATGAGCCAACCAAAACGCCTAAAAAGTATAACAAGAAAGGGGGAGACTGGTACTATCAAGATGGAGTTAACATTAAAGAGAGTTTACAAAAACGAGGTGTGATATATGGTGGACACCATACACAATACACAAAATGTGTTATATCAATAAAAAAAAAAACATAAAAAAAAGAACAGCTCACCTTAAACTACTAACTGTTAATTATTATTCTTGTTTTGTTTTTATATGACATATAGCCGAGATGATATAATATAGCTATATATATTCGCAAATTTATGATGGCATAAAGGGAACTTTGCTTATTTCTTTATGTCAAGTGCTATGACGACGACATTGTATGCATGCAATAACTAATGATTTTAATATGCCGCAATGCTTTTTTTACACTAATACAGATCATGCTACCCCCGCAAGTGCTCGTGTACAACGTAATTATAGAAAACTACAGATTCGAAAGGACGACACTGCTTATGTAAAGACAGCTAAAATGGGAGGGCATTCTGGTAATCTCATTCATTCTGGTTTATTTATACATTGTTTTTGTTCATAAATTTGAGGATAAGTGGAATTTATGCATTCGTCCATCCATCCATTTTTCATCCGTTCTTCCACATATTTTTTTCATATATATTCATAACCATGCATTTTATGTATTTTTTCACATTATTATGCATCCTTTAATGCCCTATTTTATTCGTATGTCTTTTAACATCTGTACAAATTAACATACAGAACTATTAAGCAACAGATAAATTAACTGTAACTCAGGGTAAAAGTATATAATCCACAAACTATTAGAATTGCCATGGGCAGACATCGTGACATTGATACCAGGCCTTTATTGTATTCAGATCTTCTGCACACACCAAGAAATACTCCTAGTAAGACACCAGTCAGCTATAAACGCAGTGATTGGTTCTATCTGGAGGACAATAAAAGTAAGTGTTTTACAGTGAAAACTTAAAAATAACACGTGGAAAAGTCCAAGAGAATTTTATAACAGCTTAAAGATCCCAGAAAACTGCTGAAATCTGAGTAAAATGTCTTACCGTCGTCATTGTTCTGATCAAATCACTGTGATCAAATTGACTAACATAGCTGTAAAGAATTGCTGCATAATTGCAAAAGTGTCCTAAACCATTACATGTTCAATGATAAAGATGCCTAGAGTATTTTTTAATTTGTTTGAAATAATGCATCCAGGTAAACCCCATGAAAGGCCAAGAACAGCACCCAGAAGGTTAGTTATATTGTCACAGTTATTAATGATCAAATTGAACTTTGAAATGGTAATCTTTGGAAAATCTCTTGTCTTTTAGAACACCGACAATGAGCAGTACAGTGCTGCCATCAGACTCTACTGATTCAGGTTCTCGTCCACGTACAGCATATACCAGAAGTACTCCAATATGGCTGGGAGGGACTGGTTCAGAAGTTCAACCCAGCCCTAGGAAGCATATTAGCAGAGATTCAGGGCTTGCTCCATATGCATTACATTTTTAATTGATGACAATTCACAGGTAGGTCAATGGTGTATTTATTGACATTTGAAAATGATATTTGGTTGAATGTTTGGATAGTTTGGTTCGGTTTTCAGTTGTAGTCTGGTTTATTGAGCTGGTGGTTGCTTGGTAGTTGACTACCTCAGTACTATATATAGTAGTCGCTGCATCCTTGGAGGATGTTTAGTTGTAATAATTGGTTGCTTGTAAAAATACATTTGTCTAGTGGTTTGCAATAATGTGTCATTTTCAATTAATTTATATATTAATTTATAATATTAATGTATTGATGATGTTGTTTTGCAGATTCAAGGACACAACCCAGTCTGTCATCACTTGAACAGTGCAGTTTCAGCTGTAGTAAGATAAAACTGTAGTTATATGCAGAAAATATTACGACTAATTATACACCTAGTGTGGGAGGGGAGGGTACCAGATCAAGAGCAAGTGATTTTTATAGTTTTTGTCCAAGTTGTCTGATTTTGGTCCATAATTATAGTAAAAAAAGAAAAGTAGTTCCCTAAGCATGCATGAGATTATTGATAAGTTTTCTATGGTCTTCTATGCTTTGCTACCTAAGATGTCAGCGTTGAAATGTTGGGCTTCCTGTGTTAGCAAAGAGGCCATATTAGAAATGAGGGTGGGATAAATAAAACAAAAATTGGATTCACTCGTGTGTAATTTTTTCCATGCCACGAGATGAAAAGTTAATGTTGATAATGATAGAATAAGAAACGGTAGATTTTAAGTATTGCAAGAAGGTGGAAAACAAGAAAAGTAGTGCAATAATGCTGAATTTTATTAGTTATACAATTTTACGAATTTTTTTCATTTAGAAAATAAGACATTTAAGAAATCTTTCATTCTATAAATCATCCTTGATAGAAATAATGCTGCTTAGTTCTTTGTTCTTTGTTTCTACTTCCCTTTCTTTCTTTTTATCCTCTTTCTTTTCATTTCATTTCTGTCTTTTTCCATTCAGATACCTGTCGTTCTATGTTGCCTACCTTTATTCATTTTCTTGTCTTAGCAAGCTTCTCATTTTCTTATTTTCTTTTCGCTCTCATTCATATTTCCATTCTCTATTTCTTGTGAGTGTAGTTGTAGTTCCATGTGATATTTCATTGTAATGATAAACATTAATTAAAAAAGCACAAATTGATGATAAAAGGTAATATGTTTGAGCACTGTACAGTGTAATGTAAGTCCTATTTATGAAATTATTTACAGCAGTATTTATGTGATCAGAATATTAATTAATGCACCAATTGTATGTAATCCATTGTATTTTTAATTTCCAATGAATAAGACACTGTTATCAACTGTAGAAAATAAAATCATATGCCATCATCATTCCGCTTCAACTTTAATTAAAATAGCATTTAGAAAACCAATTGAAATATTGGCTATTTTCCTGTTTGGTTTTGTGTTTGTTAATCGGCTTTTAAACAATCCGCTTCAATGTGGCATTTGCTGCCCGCACTGCGTTGTGGTTACAATAATGACGTAAATAGTTATTATTTCAATAAAACAAATACACCGCAAAACACGTAATAAAATACTAAATACTAACTAGCTAATTGATTTCTGTTTATTAAGTCAAAATAACACCGCATCTTACATGTGCTAGGTAAAGTTTTATTCTTTGTTTCTGATCTGAAAAAGGTGAACATTGCTCATTCACCACCGAAAACAAAACAAGCGGTTTTAGTATGGGCTGCACAGGTTCTGCTCTTGACAAACACTTTAAAATGACGCATTTTCTTGGCGGCCGCTTATCCATGAGATAGGATGCCGCTAAGTAGCATGGCTTGATTCATTTTCGTGGGTTATTGAATATATAATTATACTATATATGAACACTCTACGTCAGATGACATTAATGATGATCCCACACTGGCGCGAAATTGGCCACGGTGTTAGGGTGTTTTTGGGGTTCCAAGAAAGAAAAGTGAGCATTTCAAATTCTTGCGTGAAGAAGGATGATTTGTTTTTGATCAACAGCGAGAGCTGTTGAGGTCATACACTTTACCCAGTGCTAGAGTAGATTTTTTGAGTGCTTTGATCTGTTGTTGGTGTTTTTCTCTCAGCTCAGATGATATTCTTTTAAAACGACAATAGAAATTGTCAACACTTTCCTTCATCTCTTTTATATTATCCGGATGAGGTTTTAGCTTGCAAATATTTCCTGAAATAAGACACATTGTTAGATTCTTAAACTAATCTCCAGTAACTGCACGCGTTCTGAAAAAAAAAACTCACTAAATGGCACGGCTTTTGATAAAAACCCGCACAGGTTCAGAGACATAAAAATAAATTGAACACTGAAGTTTGAAAAAAGAATGCATTGATAAACTTGACAGACCCCCCCCCCCCCCCCTCCTCAGGAAATGATGCTCTCTTCTGAACACCTGCGTAGAAAGGCAAAGAGGATCCCATGATCCCTTGCGCGCTTTTCTTATACTGCGTTATATTACAAAGTATCAATTCCTGCTCCTAAATTTTTATTTTGTAAGACGTGGAACGAATATTGAACTTCATTCCTAAACTAGTTCTGTGATTTTTTTCGAATGTGAAAAAATTGAGCCATGGTCGCGTTGCATGTCGGTATAGATAGATTCTACTTACTGTTCTTCGAGTATCTAAAGAAGCATTCCCAGACTATCCCCAGACCTACAAACCCAGCATAGATAACAGCAAGAAACTCAATGACTATCATGATGTTGATTTTGGGAGTAGACTGATAAACAACCGCCGGTATTTCATCATCTGTTTGATTGACATTAACACTTTCAACATCCTACAACAAAACATAACAGGCTCTTTCACTTGCAGCTGAAATCTTTAATTAATTTTGAAAGTCGTTTGACGAGTCTAAGACCACTAACTTATCTAGATATATCAATGTATAGGGTAGCTAATATTAGTCATATTAAGTCGTGCTCGACGAGAGTATACAGTACCTTTAATGATTTAACAAATTGTGAAACTAGTTGGGATATCTTTGCCTGGTTTTGTTTGATATATTCTCGACAAGCAGGTGCTATTCGAGTTACTTTTCCAGAAAGTACAATACCGTAGCTATTTGATTTGGCCAGCAAGCGGTTAACGTATGTATCCTTGGGCTGGTTGACGATATTCTCAGGACTTCCAGCAACGTACGCATCAACAAGAACACCTTGAATATGACGGTTAGAGAGCGAATTGTACGTTTCTTTAAGTGAAGGATAACCAACTATGGAAATAAAACTCAACATAAGCTGAGGAATAAAAAAACTGAGTGTCGGATCGGAAAGTTCCCCTCCCTCCCTCCCTTGGTCACCTTACACCCTTTTAGTAGTTCATCATAAGTCAAAGTTACCCATTTTTGCGTTCTTCAGAATGCCAGCTTTGTACTCAACGGAGTTTTCTACAGCGCTTACCTAAATAGAAAAAAAAACAATCGTAACAATGACATGCATGATATGATTTATGTGTCGAAAAAAATACGTTTTGTAAATAACTGACTTACGTTTGCACCATAAAGCTGTACTTCTTGCTTTATCTCTGTCGTTACAACAGTAATGGATGATGTGACCACACCCATGAATATGGAGAGCATAACGAGTCCCACCACAGTCCATATTATAGTCACTAGTTTAGCTAGAATAGTAACTGGTGTACGATCGCCATATCTGGTAAAGAGCAGAAATGCTTAGCACATATTTTCCTCATTTTTTTGAGAACTTTCTCTCAAATTCCTAGGCAAGTTATGACCTGACCTTTTCTTATAGTCTGCAAATTTAAGATTCGCATTCAATTTTTTGATTTTTATTATCCCATGCTTTTTCCTTATTTTCAAAACGTGAGCCAGACTTTCAATATAATTGTACGAAGAATTAATAGACTTATCCACCAGTTAAATCCTTATCCAGCGGATACAACTTGGTGACTCGCTTACTTACCCCACCGTTGTCATGGACACAAAGGAAAACCACAGACCCTCCAGTACTCCACGTCGGAAGTCCGTCGGGAATTGTTCGGAATTTGAGCGAGACTCCTACATGAATAAACATTATCTGTCGATCATGTGCTGGCCTCTTAGCTTGGCATAAACACGTTTACAAGAGTACTTACTGCGATCCAGAAAACCACTCCAAAAACATACATCAAGAGAAGAAGAAAGATGAGCAACATCCATGAATTGGACACAACATTGTAGACGGTGTTGTTGGCTACAGTGAAGACTTGAGGACGAACAGCGAGGAATGCAACTCCTGGTGACTCCACAACTGACACATACTTGTAGTATTTCATATACTCTGTGTCACCCACATAACCATATATGGGGAAACTGACGTCTGTGACGTCATCTATATCATCCAGCACCTCTGAGTGGGTTTCCTTTAGGGAGTGGCTACCTTTCCCGTTATTTGTGATGTGAAGTTTTGACTTGCCGTGACCATTTGTACAAACACCACAAGCCGTTAAAACCATGTCCTCAACAATAGCACCGAATATCCCGTCTAAGCCCCCCGTAGGTTTGATACTCACGTAGGGTGGGTAGGGCAAGTAGTTGCTGTAAATGTTGGCATTGCATTTGCATGTTGCTATGGAAATAAGATATAAGTTATGTGTTGATGGCGYATTTGAATTTTGTTGACATGATGTTGGCAAAATATAACAGTTTTCACTGAAGCGCTATTGGGGGTAAATTGCATTTCTATTAAAGTGCTACTTGCATGAAAATGTCCTTATTTCAGAACTTCAAGCAATAAAAATATATGACTCTCATATATCTATTAAAAACAATTGCGGGAAAATATTTGTTTTGGAATTGTCCCTCATCAGAGAAATTTTGATTCAAAAGATGGAAGAACAAAAGGATGGAGTAAATGACGTCATCTACTCTAACATGTTTTGTCCAAATTATGAAGGATTTGTATCAATATCTTCTTAAAATCTGTTGCTTCATGATTATTGGACCCATATGGATAGTTCTATTTGATTTCCAAGTCTTTTTTAATGTTTCGCAATTTTCGTCCAAGTAGCTCTTTAAGCCGGTTTGGCTTCAGACGGAGCATCAATCATGCTGTTAGTACATGTATTACAACTAATGCTAATGCTGCTGCTACAAGTCATCTAACCTGCAGATATCTTTGTAGATACTCCATTTCCAATTGATGTGTAAGCAAGTATCTCGATATCATAGCTGGCTGATGAAGCGAGAGACCCGATGGTAATACTCGTTGAATCAGGGGGGAGCTGCAACATCTTGGTATTAGACTCATCATAATCGTCGTCGGCAGCCATTTTGTATGTAATCTTATAACCTTTGATGATACCATTTCTTTGATCATGAGGGACTGGATTCCACCGCATTTTTAATGACGTTGTACTGAACATGTCCTCGACAATTACATTTGACGGAGGAGCACTGGGAACTATTAGAAAAATTTCAATTAGCTTGTTTCATATATGAGATAGTACGCGCGCCGTGATTGGATAAAATCAAGCACATACCGTCTTCTAGTGTTTGCAGACGAATCAATGGACTAGGAACGCCTGAACCGAGATCTGAAAATCCAAAAACACGGATCGAGTACCATTTGTACTTGTTTAGACTTTTGAAAATCGCCACTTGAACCCAACTGAAAGGAAAGATGCAAGATTTAGGGAATCTTACTCGGGCTTCTTTTTACCCTCATGGGTAACTTTACCCCTCATTACTGCAAAAACAATAGTACTTGTTCTATGGGGACAGGCAATGGGGTAAGGTTAAGGCAAGCAGACTGCTTGTCTATTTGAAGTTTGCCTTCAAGGTACTATGACTAAGACAAATGAACAGAGACAAACGTGAATTTGTAATCATTAAATGAAATATTAGTAGATCTACCTATTGAGCGTTTTTTCTATAACTTTTCCACTGTCGGCCTCTTCGCATAAGACACGATATCCCAGGAACTTTCCTGAAATCACTCCGTCTGGCAAAGGATCCCATTCAACAACAATGGACGTCGATGAGAGAACTGTTGTTATTACGTTTGGAGGAGAGACATCTTTCGATACTAAAACACACAAAAAAGGTAACTACAAACATGGATACAACAGTATAGGAAACCATATACCACAGGAGTCAAGATTAGAAGGGTACGACCAACCAATTACAAAGTCTCAGATGCGTGCTGTCAGTCCATACAGACTCTGGTCGCATGAGTTTCTCTCCTATCGCTTTCTTTTCGTCATAGATACCTCGGTTTCCCCTTGTCCCTTCCTCCACCAATATAATTGATCAAATTGGAAACTGGATAAAGCATTACATGAAGGAATATGACGGTATTAATTGCTATAAAAGTAACATCCTATATGAAAGGAGAAAGTTCTAAGCATCTGCGCGACATATTCTCGCTACACAGTTCTATGTGCGTGGTCTTTAATTCTTTCGCATTCTAGCGCGAAAAGGCCATTAACAACATTATGAGTAAAAGATGAATGAAATACTGAACAAAAGAAAGACAATCATTGTGTTATAAACAGTAGATACCTGAAGGAGGCATTACCAAAAGTACAGCATCCCCAGCAATCCCTCGAGCTTTATCAGTTAATATCTGCACCCTGAACCGATAAGTCGTATTTGATAATAATTTATCCACGACTATTGATGTACAGCCTGTACCACATGTAGCAGTCAGCCAGGTAAAGACGCTTAATGGTCGATAGCTGATGATATAACCTTGGAATGAGTCGGGATACTGATTGGTAGGCTGCCAGCTTAATTGAGCAACTGTAGCAGTTACTGCTTTGATGGAGGTAATGTTCGGTCCTTTTGACGGCACTGTCATAAAAACAAAGAAAGCACAATTCAACAAACAGATAAATCATCGATATAGACGTTTGTTAGTCAATTGCATGTATCAATACTTGTTTACACGCATGTTTATAATTACAATCAACAAGCAATCAAGCAGTCATTACATGTTTGAGAATGCACTTTTTCGACGAGAAGCGACGTGTTTCCCAGCGTTTTGTTGATGTCCAGTGATTCTTGAAACGCTATGACGTTTTCAACAGCCAAAGCAGCAAACTTAATGTGCAAAGTAGTCATGACACTCCCTTTCCTGGAAATATAGAACCTTACTGTGTAAAGCAGTCATAACACTCCCTTTCCTGGAAATATAGAACTATGATCCATAAAAATATCAAACTATAGAAAGACGTAATTAATGCTGGTGATTGATGCTAATGATGATGATGATTGCTCTAAGTAATGTTTACAAAATCTCAACAAAAAATCAAACAACATGAGCGACCGTGTTGTATGGGATTTTACAATCTCCCGAAGGCGAGAGATTGTAAAGCCCATACAATACGGACGCGAATGTTGTATACGACTTATAAAACTCCAACACAAATTAACATGGACTATACAGTGAGATAAATGACGAAAAATGACAATTAAGGTAACTGCTGAGATTAGTCGCTATTAAGTCGCTATTTAGTCGCAATTTACTGCAACACAGAACATTTTGAATAATTATCCATCCCACATGGAAAGCAAGCCATCTGTTGCATAAGCGAGTTGTGTTATCAGTCTTTGATTGCTTCAAAACCTAGTGAAGGTCTATGAAGCCCTTATTGGCGTAATAGCTCATGCATTATTAATAAGTTTTATAATTGATTTTATAGTTTGATTTAAGCGTTCACGTGACCTGTTAAGGTCCATGTGCACATTAACATATAACTCACCAACATTTTTCAATATAACACAATACAGCTGAATAGAGAAGGTAACTCTGCAAAAAAAATGCAGAATCCAATGAAATACTCGATCTATTAACGGGGAGGGAAGAGCATCTGAAAAATGAAATGAATGAAAAAATAGAGAGAAAAAAATACATCAACCAGTGCGACTTTTTATTTCTTTGTTCCTTCTTGAAGTCAATAAAAATATTACTCTTATAACAGTGATATTTTTGGTTAAAACTTGTAATTAAAGGGACGCGATATGCCATGTATTGTTTTTTTCACGTAATATCATTTTTTGTGGCCATAATTTCGATCCTTCATCTTCAAAAACAGATCGTCCCCATTCCCGAGCCAAAAAAACCCCTGATCCCTGATCTCAAAAAAACTCTGATTTAGTTACTTACATTTGCGCACAATCTAGATTCCAGCCGTTTGAATTCCGGACTAGACTGGTTGGCTAAATTGTCATTCCATTTCTCTTCTATTAACTTGGCATCAACTGATATGTCTGAAGAAATACAATACAACGTCATGAAACGCAGGTCACAGAAACATGAAAAGCTACAGTTTTAAGCAAGATTATATACTTGACATAACCCATACCCGAGCAATTGGTATAGATATTACATTGCGCATGCTCTTGTTGCATAGGACACGCATTGCTAGAGCAATTTCGATATCTTGTTTTCATTCCAATACCACAAGAAGTATTACATGGTGACCAGGTAGTCCAGTTACCATAGAGTGTCGTTGGTGATGTTGGGACATTAACAGTTGATGAATACGACTCGTTTGTTGGTGATGTAGGGCATGTTGTGCTGGTTGTATTAGTTGTGATCTGTGTTGCCGTTGTTGTTGTTGTTCGTGGTGTTGTTGTTGTCGTTGTTGATGGCATTCTTGACGTTAACGGTGGAGGTGGCTTTGTTGGTACTGGCGCTGCAAAAATAAATACCAACGGTTAGCTCTAGTTTTTTGTCCTTTTTTTTCTCTTGATGGCGGTTCAGTCTTCTCGGTCAAATAAACAAAACAGGATGAGGCACAAAAGTTCGAATCCCTCAGTTGAGGTAGCCTGTGGAGAGAGTGACGGTTTAGATTTGCTATTGCAAGAATAGCATTGCTTACTTGCAATCCTGCAATGTGTACGCTTGTCCACCCAATTACTACAAGGACCAAAGGGTGTACCAGGAACTGTCTGTGCTGCGACACATATCAAATATGTCTCAGATGGTTTCAAACCACTCAGCCTGATATTCTGAAATGTGGTATTCTCTTGTTTTGTTACGTTATGGCCCTCTCTTTTAACGTAGTAAGTAACACGAAACAAACGAGAGATTCCACTCAATGGAAAAATGTCTGGTTTATCCCATGAAAGGTGAATACCACAGTCTTCCCAGCTCGTGTAAATGCTTCGTAATTTGGGGGGCTTGAGGGCAGCTGGAAATTTGAACAGATTTACAATTCAATACAAATAAACTCATATCTCCTATTTATTCTATTTATTCTATTTTATTATTGAATGATAAATAAATACCAATTTCGTCACGATTGGTGGTTGGCACACTTCCTGGACCTAAAACGCCACTTCCTGTTACGGCGTATACCACGAAAGTGAAGTTCTTGTCCACATTAAGGTAAATCTTCATGTTTTGTACATTCTTTTCATACATTTTGGCTTGCGTTACGTTTTGGACTCCAGTCAACCATACACGGATTTTATAGCCTTGAATTTTTCCCTTAAGATTTGGGTCGGGCTTAAAGTCCCAGCCTACGTACATGTGTGTTTCACCCACTCTTACATTGAAGACACGAACTCTAGTTGGAGCATTTCTGGGAGCTGCAAAAAGTTAATGCATTACTATTGTAACATCAGTCTTCCTTTGTCTTCCTTGAAATGTCATTTTTGTTTTAGTAGCAAATTGTAACATGCATATTCATGCGTTTTATTTTTCTCGATAAAAGCATTGCGCATGCGGCTTACCTTCTTCGTCCGTGGAAACAACAGCAGGAACTTTAGGATATTCCCCAACACGTCTGGCGTCAAAACCGATCACATTCACCACGTATTGTGTTAAAGCTGTTAAGTTTACAAACTCAACTGAAGTCACATTGGAACATACCATGTTGACGGTTGTATTCGTAGCGATACTTTTGGGATGAATGATTGCTGTGTAACCTAGCACACGGCTGATTGATTTAGTCCATGTTACCAAGATAGAAGAACTCCCAAGAGAACTTGCAACAATTTCAGCTGGAGGTTCGATCGGGCCTAAAATGGGGAGATAAATTATTATATGATTGACGCACATTGACATAAATACATATATTAATATATGTATTTAAAAAAATATCAGTTTTTTTTGTTTTATTGCTATTTGACACGTACCAAGAGGAATTGTAAAGTTCAAAGTCTGCGAAGGTGATCCGTCAATGCGTCCAATGGGTTGTGCATTTGCTGTATAATTAGTCTCTTGTTCAAACTGATCAACTTCTAATGTCCCTTTGCAGAACTCTGTGATGTAGGTTTTGACTTGGCCACTTTTAAGGTTAGTCACATTCACACGGTATCCTTGTAATAAACCACCAATAGGAAATCCAGGTTTAGTCCAATTGATTATCCCTGAACTTGCACCAGTTTGCGAAAATTGTAACTTTTGGGGCGTTTTAAAAATTCCTGTCAAAACAAAAGTTGAAAACTCAGGAAAAAAAAAAACACGAGGAAAAGATCTGAAGGATGGTAAAATTTGAAGTAAAATAAATTGGGAAGACGAATGGGCAAAGGCGAAGGAAATATGAACTTAACGCTAGTAAAAAAACAGTACCTTCTCTGTCAAATACGCAACTGTATTTAGCTAATGTTTTTTGCTGTTTGGTCAGTACTGTATTGTAGACCTGAAGGCAAGCAAGTTGTGTTTGACAATCGTTTCCAATTTTAATATTGCTCTTCAAATCGTGTAATTTCAAAAGTTTTCCTTGCAGCTTCTTTCGGTTCCTTATAGTACCGTCAATTTCTAACTGAGCAATTTTAAGGTTTGAATCGAAGGAAAACAAGACAAAATGCCATTTATCAAGCTGTTCTTTAACTTGAAGACTGACATGAGAAACATCGTTACTAGTCCACTCAGTAAAAAACGCAAACTTTGCCTCAAAAATATTTTCATCAATCGAAAGCCGTAACGTTGATCCTTGGTCGTACAGTTGGCATTTCTGTAATTGATTCTTTGCTCTTAGCCACATGGTAATAGTTATACAAATCTTTGGTTTAAATTCGTAATATGGATTTAACTCCAATTTTGCCAATGGATAATTACAAGAGAGACATCCCTTCTTAAAGAATGTCATACCACCATAAGACTCATTCAATATCCCAACACGATCTGCGTAATCAGTAACCTCCAGCCCTGTAAGTTGTGTAGCCATTGACATATCCATTGCGTTTTTGTAAGTGTCACTTTTTCGGAAAGGAAAAAACACGGCAGGTCTTGGAGGAACTAAAACCGGAAATAAAGTTATAAACATAAGCATAAACATAAACAATTATACCGGCAAACAATGTCTTGCTGCCTTTGGGGTGAATATCGCGCGTATCAAAAGCCAATATTGATTTTATCACGGATCATTACAGCATAATTTCAAACATGTACCGATGCTTTAGCTCGAGCTCTGCTCTAGTCTGTCTACTGCCTGTGAAATGAGGGTGCCAAGAGGCTCTGATCAAAGTGAAGCCCTCAAGAGGCACATAGTATGGTGTAATATAATCTAAATATCTACAAATCTATAAAACAAAAGTAATTGATATAGAAAAAATACTTTGACCTTTTTCGACTATTTTCGCCACAATCGATGAGCGAAAACATCAACATCAATCATTGTAGCCAATCATAATCAACCATTGATAATTAGTTTGATGAATGTGATTTACCTGGTTCATAGTTATAGCAGCTGTACATAACCTCTTGCATATAGCGTGTATAAAACCAGTCTTGAAATATATGCATACACGCTATTCTTCCAGGGAATGATTGACCAATGACAAACTCGTTAGTCAGTACTAAATATATCTTTTTAGTACCTTTAGCTAATTTGTCCATTCCATTTAATATAATTTCTGATTCCAATGTTTCATCGTGATATGTCATGGCCACGTGATACCAAACCCCGATGGCAAATTTGTCCAGTTTAGTATTTCTTGTGACACTTCCGCTTGAGGGAGACTCAGAACCGCTTCCAAAACGAGCGATCAACTTGTCTTTATCCATTACCATTTGAAGTGTCTTGTCGTCCGGTTGCCTACCTCTAAAAGAGAACAACTGCGCGGTTTCGTCTGGAAGTACGTCCAAAGAAAACCAACACGAAATTGTAATCGATTTCGCTTTTAGTAAAGACGATGTTTTCTTGATGTCAAATACCAAGGATGATTTGAACGGACGTCGAAAAAAACGGTATGATCCACTGAATTCATTAAACGTCGGCCCTAGACCGTCCTTCACATCATGTTTCGAGCTTAATTCAAAGTCCTTGGTGCCAAATTCAATTGTATCTGGTAATTTACTGGACAATGGTAAGACTGCAACTGGTAAAACGTGATCTGTAATAGGGAAAAAATGTTAATAGTAGTTATTGATCTAGAATAGAATGTTTGCCGACACAATCTTGGACAAGAAAGTAGTTGTTGGAAGAACTTTGTTTTCCTCCATGTTTTTTTTTTTTTTTTGCTATCACTCCTTCACTGTTGCTATCTTGTTTTACTAGTGGAGACAAAAGGGACGGATAAAGTGAACTCATCCCTCGTACAGACACTTCTAGATAGACCCCTTGCGTGTCACGTCCGTAACAGCTTCATCTGGAGGACAAAGCAAAAGAGTTTTGACTTCGTTGGGATTAGAATCCATTGTTTTGTCCTGCAGTTTGAGCTGCATTCCCATGAGCTGCAAGGAGTCTACAAAATTCTCTAAGATTGTAGAATTACTGTATCAGTATATCGTGTTATTTTGAGAATCAGTTGTTTTGGTTTAGTTGAGATCACTGTCTTCGCGTCACGTTATTTTCAAGGATCAGTTCGATATGTGGAATCACGGATGTCAATAATATTCCTCGGCGTTATGAGTAGTATAACCGGTACTGAATAGCGTACTTACAGGATTGACCAAATACCACCACTTCGCGGTAGTCTATAGAGCCTTGTTCAGAGTCAAACCAAGCCTCGACTGTCACGTTATTCTCAAAATACGTATTATTTTTGCAGTAAAATACGACAGACTGGAAGGGAGTGATTTCTTTCGGGGACTGACAGGCGCTTGAAACAGGAACACTATCATCAGGAACACTACCAGGAACACTACCAAGATACAGATATAGTTTGGCTTGGTTTGAGACATTCCCAACGCTCACAAGCACTTCGGTGATCAATGCTTTTCTATGTAAGTGAACGTGCACTAACGATGGCGTCCCATTCACAGCGTCGTCCAGTTTTCCATCCACGAGAATTGTGGGGAATGCAGAACAGTTAAATGCTAGGTTCTCTGAATATGAAATATTAATTGCATCATATTTGATCTTAAAATAATGTTGGTGATGATTCGTTAGAAACCATCACTTGGAATACTGCTATTAGTTTATAAGGTTAACCTCCTACCCCCTCCCCCCCCCTCCCCCAACATGAGGAGTATACAAACGATTAGAGAGTATTCGGCTTGCAGTATCTAGAGGATAACTAACCTTTAGCATGGCATTGTGATGGTCGCGTTACTGTTATATTGGACTTCTGTGTAGTGTTTTCCAAAAATTTCTTCCATGAGACCATTGGTTTGATTTGGTGTCGTGGTTGACATCTTGTGAACATACTCCACATATTACTAAGAGTAAGAATTTCATTCCAAACGTAAACACTGCTTATTTGTCCTCGGAAGGAGGAATTTCCTTGGCCGTCGCTCAATGGTTTTCCATTGCCCAAATCTATCTGTACATCATGTGACAATTCCAGATCTGTTCCTAAGCCTGAACACGACTTGGCATTGCCATCGTACATAACCAGCCATTTGCCATGGATTGAACTCCATGTTGTACAGATATGGTGCCAATGACCATTCAGTGTATCATTAGCAGTTACCTCGCTTTGATGATTAAAAAGAGAGACATCTATTAGAGGTATTTTGGGAAAGAAGTGATAGATCGCCCAATGAAAAAGGGACTCAAATGGATTGGCAAGAACTGCCCCCAGCTGCAGATCACAGCATAGTTAGGGGATATTTCCTTCTATTAACAATGATCACAGTATATGACATATTCGATTATATAATATAYGTTAATATGTTGTCGCCAAAGTGAGTCCTCCCTGTTCGATAGATATTTTGATTTTATGCAAAACAACGCATCGTGCGCACGCATCTATATGATCCGGATGGACACGTTGATTCCGACATCGGTTCTCTAAAAATCAAAGACTTCTCTCATCGACTGAACAGGTATTTGATTTCTAACTACTTATCTACGGCGAACGTATTGCATGAAGGCAACACGTTTTTTTTTTTTTTTTGAAGTGAAAAAACTTACACTTTTTGGTCATAAATCCAAAGCTCCAATTTTGAAGGCATCCGATACAAAAGAACCATTTGATTGGATGAAAATGCGTTTCGTCGCAACGAAAATATTACATGATGATCGCTGGTATATTCCAAGGGACGCATCCAGAGACAAACCGACACATCTCGAATAGGCTGTGATGAATTGAAACGCAGTGCTCTCTGAATTGAATCATTGGTACCAGGGTTGCTAGGGAAATTCAGGTCATAATCTATAGAGAAACAAAGGTTTATGTAGAATATTGAAATAAAGAGGAGGTACTTCGACGTATGAATGCAAAAAAATGCTGTCATCTACACTTAACATCATTTAGGGAATTTGCAACAATCCGCTCAGTTTAATTTTATTTCGCGAGGAATTAAGATAAATATTAATCCCATTAATTAAGAACCAAACGAATCCCTTCGCTCGATACTAGCCGTTGCTAACTCGATCGACGCGCATTGAGAACCCTAGAACTCCAAGTACCCAAAACTTTAAACTTCTTGACAATATATTTTTCTTTTTCAAGATTGCTAGATAAAAGTTTGAACTTTTCACAACTTCTGAAATGATCGATTGAGACCCTGGCAGTCACAAGTTTTTGTTTTTTAGTTTCCACTTTTAAATTAACTTACCTTGAGCAATTATTTTGGAGATGAGAATGGTCATTGTCAAAACTACTGACACAGCTATCTAACGAAGAAAAGAAACTGCATTGATGACATATTCCTCTGACTTTCAGTAATAGTTTGAACTCTCTCATACCTTCATTTTGTGATGACGAGAGAATAGTTTGCAATCAAACACCCACTTTGAAGATGAACTCCTCGGTCAGTGCGAAGTTTAACTAAAAAAGTTCTAACAACTAATAAATTTTTAAACATCCTTAAGAATGCAAGATAATACAAATTGAATAGAAGCATGAACAAATATGACAAAACAAAAGACAAAGATGGATCGATATATGTAGTGAAAAACAATTACATTAAAACCATGTAAAAAATAACTTTGATTTCTCATATTTTGACTGTCGAAAAATAACTGGATCTGTTTCATCCATAAGTTCCAATTCATCTCTGACACCTTAGAAAGAGCCCTGAAAAAATCTTACACTTTAAATTATTGAGCTACTGAGTGGTAAAATTGAAATAACATTCATAAATTATTAATCCAGCAGAATCCTTCAAAAGGTTAGCTAAAACTCTTATAACACGATAAAAATTCAATTTAAAATTCGGCTGACGCAGAGCCCATTATTCTTATAACAAAACATAGCTATAGGGGTGTGATACACTGATGCTTGTCCTTGGGGATGGAAAACAGTAGGAATTGCACTCACAATGGTCAATGGCTTTAATTTGAGCACGAAAATATTGACGAACGCATCGATCTTAAAAGCTTTTTTTATCTGACGTTACTAGCTAGCTATGACTTATTACATTAAGGTCTTTTTAATCAATTTATATGCTACAAAAGTCACTTCTCAACAATGCTCGTTGTCATTTCATGCTACACTGAAATCAAGTCTTGCCAAAATATCGTCATTTGTCGCAATTCTTCCTTAATCACTCTTCGATCAATAACTCCTGCAAAGACCATTGATTTTGGATGATATTTCCCCGTCTCAAAATCTCCCGTATTTTAGAGAAAATGTGTGATTGGTTTTGGTCTATTTTTGTGACGAAAGGCCTGATTTGGCCTCTCATCGTGCTGAGTGACCGAACCGTAACCATCATGCACTTGTAGCACGCGTTCCTTGCGAGGCCTTGGCATGTTTTTTTTTAGTTAAAAATATAAAATCTTTAGAGAAAAATAAACACAGTAACAACAGCAAAGGAAAAGAAAAAAAAGAAAGAAGAAAAGAAATGAAAAGAAACAAAAAAGAAACAATAAAAAAGCAAGCAAAAATGAGAAATCCCAGCAGCAGGGCTCGAACTCAGAACCTCACTTAAGGAGAAGATGTACCCCCCCGGACATACATAAAAGATAATGAAAATAAAAAACTAAAAAGATGGGACGATTCCCCCGAGACATTCTATGAAGCTGAGGCGTCGAATCGGCTTACGTTACGGTTAGAGATTNCCAGGGAGTGAGGGGGTAGCCGCCCACTAGAGCATACCTTTAGCTACCCTCTTAGACCATCGTACTATGAAGACACTTATAGATATCTAACATCTAATTGGGGTAGTCTATTCGGTGAAGTTCTATGCTAATAGTGACGTCACCAAAATCCTTAGGGAGCTGCGAGCCAATCAGAGCTCAGATCAGGAATTAGCAACATTACAGGCTTTGCATAATAATTCTTCAGTGGATTTATTATTTGAGGGGGGAGGAAAGGGGAGGAAGGGGGGGGGGTGCTGCAGTGATTGTTTGCGGCCGAATACCGATGTACTTGATGTAATGTGACGGCTTTCACCGAGCTGTTCAATTTCCAAATCATCACAGGAAAAGTTGTACAGTTCTTATATTGGACAGACATTATTAGTATTTGGGTAAACAGCACGACAAAAATCTCTTGAATTCCTTAGCGTAAGTGTTTTATAGACCAGGCAAGTTGTTCCAAAGATTTGCCAGGATTCAACGGAACCGCAATTGAAGACCTTTGAAACTCAAATATTACACTAGAACGATGCACATTTTCGACATTTTCGTTATTGTCAAATAATTATTAAATATAAATATAGTGAATATTAATAATTGAACTGAGAGGATGGATGACAATCCGTAACAAAATGATAAAGAAATGAAAAAGAACTTAGACTGATATGTTTACTGTAGACGGGGAAACAGGGTGCACCGCGTCAACTCCCGACGGGAGGAATGATCAACCATCACAATAGGTTCCTTAGACCCTGGGAATCGCCGACTGGTTTGTATTTATAGGCAACGTAGTGGTTGATCGCTACTTGATGCTTTCTTGCAGCGTATACAGATAATTCAAAAAACGTTAAATAAACAAAATACCCATTGCTAAACTGTTCCCAATGGGAATTACCTAAGGGTTTATTACCATCTAATCGAAAGCTAATTTCCATATTTTTACCTGAAGAAGACTTGATTAGTCGAAAACGTTTGTACTTAAAACTTTAAATATACCTTAAGTTCTTAAAACATACTGATAGAGCAAATATTATGTCAATGAAGATAGTGTATTTCAAGAGCACTCTACTTAGTCACTGCCAATTTATTTTTGGTAATGTCAACCGACAAACAAATGGTGAATATATCGATCGTCCCTGCGCGGCCCGCGGGATCAAAGAAGACGTGGCTGTACCGCACGGATCTCTGGGTAATCAGTACGTCCACGTCAACATTGAAGTTGGCGGCCATCTTGAATTAGAATTGTTAAAAAACTCGTGTTATAACATGGGAGCAGGATCGTCGACAGAAATTCCCGGTGGTGGAAGCGAAGGCTACCATGTCTTACGTGTAAATATTTTTATGTTATGTGGGTTTTTTGAAGCGATAACAGCACACATTGATGTAAAAAGCCGGCTAAGGTCTGTTGGTTGTCTGGTTCCACATTCAAGTAAAAGTACGATCTTTGTGTTTTGAATAGGTTCAGGAGAATTCTCCAGGATATAAAGCTGGCTTGGAACCTTTTTTCGACTTTATTGTTTCCATAGAAAATACCCGACTGGTAAGTTGAATTTTATTTAATACAACGTTTGATATCAAAAATTAGTTGTTAAACCATTCTTGTCTATAAATCTCAAATGTCTAGATATTGATATTATTATTTTTTAAATCAAATTAACCAAACGAAAATTTACCATTTTGGCTTATTCTTTACAGTATTCTTGAAATAATTTGGAAGTTTAAGTTCATTTGAATATGTTTCACATATCATTTGTTCATCAATTGTTAAATATTTTGTGGGGAGAGGGGTGGTTGGGGTTAAATGTWGACTGATCAAAGAATATTTCATAATGTCATCCAGAATGTTTCCCCAGCAGCATTTGCAATGAATGTTTGATTGCTCCAAAATCCACTTAATACAGATCTCAGTTATGATATGGAAAAATACCAATTCCTTAGCAACCAAATGAGACAGTCCTTGAGCCTGCAGTGATAGATAGCTTTTTCACACCAGCAACAATTTAATATTCACASCTATCTATCAATGCAAGCTTACAGGCACTGTTCACACTGTGTTGATTAAAGGTATAGCCACCTAATAAGATGTGGCWAGGAACTGCAAAATGTAGTATTCCTCCAKTAGGATTTTTTTCCTTGTTAAACTGTGATCTGTTTTGTTCTGAGGCTGGTTGTACATAGGATGAACAATGCAAAATCCATAAAAAAATCTAACTTTGTTCAGCCTTTATACAACTGGCCCAGGTCTGTTCAACTGGTCTCAGATTTCACATGATGATATTTAATTTCTTCATGTAAGGACCAAGATAATGAATCCCTTAAAGAAATCCTTAAGAGTAATGCCGAAAAACCTGTTAAGATGTTAGTCTATAGCAGTAAAACCCTGAAAGTCAGAGGTATGTTAGTGAATATTCCTGTATAATCATTCTGTTGCATTCAAATATTATCAGTTTTTTGCACAATGAGAAAAACAGTCCATGTKTTGAAAAGATTTACTTCCGTTTCTTCTATCAGAAATAAGTTTACTACTTTAAGTGTWATATAGTTTATTCTTTTTTAGAGGTCAGCATTACACCAAGTAATATGTGGGGTGGCCAAGGGCTTCTTGGTAAGTTTAGTAGGTGTATCATGTATGAATACAGTGCTTTGGTAGTTGGTCTGTTCTTATGTTTTCATAGGTATGTTAAAATGGTATGGTGAACAAACCATTTCAGTTGCCATGTCAAAATAAATGGTTGTGAAGCATCAAGTTGTGTATTTACATTATAGATATATATGTATGCATGTGCAAAAGTTATATATTACTTGATGATCATGTGATCTTTGAGGTTTTTGGCATTGTTTGTGTTGCATGCTTTTTGTTAATATTACTCGTTTTGATTTGACATATTAGGTGTAAGTATACGATTCTGTTCGTTTGATGGTGCCAATGAGAATGTCTGGCATGTCTTGGTAAGTAAAGATACTACTCCTTGTATTTATCATAATATAATTGTACTGTAKATTCATGTCTGAGTAAAGTTTGTTGGAAATGTTTGTAAAATGTTGAAAATTCTTACTGCACTATATATTGGCCAAGTTATTCCATTCAGTTTTCTCTGTAGGATGTACAACCTAACTCCCCGGCTGATATAGCAGKWCTAAGGACAAATACAGACTATATCATAGGTGCAGACTCTGTGCTTCATGAGGTAATGTTCCTGGTGTGTTTTAAGATTTACTGTCTGATAAGTTTTGAMCAAATTTAACTTATCCCAGGTTCGCTAATAATTGTTGTATTTCTTTAAGTCTGATGACCTGTTCCAATTGATTGAGTCTCATGAAGGCAAACCTCTTAAACTTTATGTGTACAACTCAGAAACAGATGGCTGCAGAGAGGTGTGTTCAGTGTTGTATTAATGTTTGAAAAACCAAGTGCACATGTATCACACAAATCAATMATATYTGGAAGCAATAATAATGATATTTTATCTCTCTTKCAAGGTCACCCTGACCCCGAATAGCAACTGGGGTGGTGAAGGAAGGTATGGTTACTTTAGATTGTTCTTGTCATTTTATCAAAGTTATAATAATAGTAGTTTTTTTGATTATTTTTTTCTAGTTTGGGTTGTGGAATAGGATATGGTTATTTACATCGAATTCCTCAACGTGATGATGAAAAACCTCCACCAGTAGCATCTCATGGAGCTCCRTCAAGTGATGGATTTTCAGAAGTAAGTCCTTCAAAGAACAACCAACATTAATAATGTAGCAAAATACTTAATACAAATTATTTGTGTTTTCAGGTTCCATTGACAGGAGTGACCACAGCAGTCCCAACACGTAAGGATCATAGAAAAAAAATGTGCAATAAGAATTTGCTCTGAGCTACCAATAGGCCATTTGCATRATGGCGTAACTTTACTACAACTACCAGAAAGCCTTGYGCATTTTCTTTGTTATTCAGATTTTTAATTCCCTTAGCGATTAGTAAAACATTTGGCACTAATTGCATTACAAAAGAAAGTGGGCAAAGCATTCTGGTAGTTGTAGTAAATGACGCCATAATGCAAATTGCCTATTGGCTTGTTAACTCATTGACTAAGATGGCAATATTAGGTGGAGAGCCATTTAGTAATTACTGCAAAAAATATCTTGATCATTTTTTTTATTTCATCAGCCTTGGATCATGGGATGGCTTCATTAAACCTTCAGTCCAGCACAGCTCAAGCAGCAATGAACCCTTTGAATACTAGTCTAACATCATCAACAAATGCTGTACCATTTGATACAGCACAACCAACCATGCCTAGTGTCCAGTTCAGCACTGCAGTACCAACTGTACCAAGCACACAGTTCARTACAGCAGCACCAACCATCCCTAATCCACAATACAACGCGGCAGTACCAACTATGCCTGGTACACAATATAGTACCGCTGTACCAACTGTCCCTAGTAATCTCTTCAATACTTCATCTCCAGCTACATCAACTGTTTTGCAGAGTGGTACACCCATGCCAAGTACAGCCCATACCCCAGCATCATCATTTACAGTCACACCCAATGTACAACCAGTAGGCACACCTTATACACCATTTAATCCTTCTGTCCAGGGAACACCAGCACCAATTCCAGTATTCCAGACACCAACCCTTGTACCAACTCCCATTAGCAGTGGACCTCAACAAAGTATTCCAACCAGTGAGCCAGCATTACAACCTGGTTCAACACCAGACCTATCTAGTCCAGGAAGTACAGTAACAGCCAAACCAGCACAACTCTTGATGGATATYACTGCTGGTGCCACCCCTGCACCATTAATTCCAGTWTCAAMTGTTCAAAATGGTGAAAATCCTTCAGTTTTACAGCAATCGCCACAGCTTGTTGCTCAATAATTTTCCATAAGGAATTAAGAGCTAAAACTAGTGATGTTCTAAAACAGTCTAACAAGCACAAAATYGTGCTCCATATAAAATTCCAATTGTTGGACGAATAATTTATAACAAGAGAGAAAAAAGAAAGTACAGAGTGGTTTTTCATTAGCCTGTGAACCACTAACATATATATTATATATATGTATACCTTACTATTTAGCCTGTCAGGAAGCCATTAAACCTGTGAAATGTAATACACAGACTATTCAGAGTAAGTGGAGAGCATGACCATAAAACTCGTAAATTGGGTTGTAAGGTTTATTACTTGATATCAATTTAGGAAATAGTTGTAATATGTATTAGTCAATATCAATTCCTCTGGTTTTATGGTATTACAGTCTAGTTCACAGTACCACTCCTGTTCCCATGACATAGATAACCAATGATTGCCGAATCCTTTGGTGTCTGGCATTGTTCCTTGGTTGTGATATTTTGTGGACTTAATTGTCTCCTTGAAGAGACAGACGTTCGTTCATTGATTTAGATAAAGACATTGATATATTAAAGTAATTTTAATGTGAAAAATAAAGATTATTCTGACATGAACTTGGTGTTGTCTGTAATGTTGTGATGTTTAGATGCCTGAAAGACCCATTCCCWTGCAATTTATGTGACGATTTCATTAAGACCTCATTCTGTCTACTACAAGAGGCACAGTGTAGCAACCACTTTAATGACAATCATTGTTACAATGAATGCGAAAACAATTTTTATACCCATCCTTGGAAGCCGTGAGACTACTGAGTGTGACTGGGAAAGGGAGGGGGAGGCGGGGATTATTGGGAGATAAAAGGGTGGGTCATAATCTTCTATTGTGTTCCCATGATTATTTTCAGAAGTCCCAAAGTTTCTGAAGGCCCGTTTACACTTGAAATCGAAGCGCGATTGTTGCGCGACAATCGTCTGAGTTTCGAACATGCTTGAAATTTAGCTGCAACTCGCCAGCGATTTTCGATCGCCGCGACAATCGTAAAGCTGTTAACACTTACGATTTGAGGTGCGCGAGAACAAAGTGGCGATTGTCGTGCGACAATCGCGCTGCAAATAAAGTGTAAACGGGCCTTGAGGATGCTTTTTACCTACACTAATATACTTTCTCTTTATGTACAATTCAAAATAAATAGCATTTTTTTCATTTGAATCAATAATATTCCTAGTATTTATATTTATATCCTTTCTTCATCTTTTATCTTAACAAGTTTCCCTACACTACCTTCAAAAACATTGATTGTGATTTGAGCAATCTAATRCCAATAAACTGCAATAAAAACTGGAACAGATATTACGTTTTTTCCTTTCATCATTTATCAAAATACTTAACAAAAAGGAATGTAATGAATGCATATTAAACAGGGAATAATTAAGTATCTACAATAATATTCCTAGCATTCCCTCGTCAACGCTATAATATACTTTCCTCAATAATCGTTACATTTATCATCAAAACTTRATATAATTCTGTAAATCTTTCTCAAAACTCTTTTCATACCATGAGAATATTTCTTGCATGGCAGACTATGGTAGCAAACAACCCATTTATGATTATATTACAAACTTCAGGTATTCTACAAGCTTGGACCAGCAACACTTGCCTTCACCTACATTAATAATGCCTAATATCTAGTAATAAATATTGGTAATTTTTCACCTGTCTGATAACGGACAGATATTATATACAGGGACATTGTGAAGACTACAGCCTTAGTTAAAATAAACCAACAGCTTTCTTTAAGTTCTGTTGCTTCCATCCGGGTAGTTTCTCAAACTCTTCAGCGTTCATCTTAAATATATTCTAAAACAAACAACACATAATTTAATTGATTAAAAGGACGTAATTAGTGCATTGTTATTAAAACTCACCGAAAAGTCTTCTTTGTTCAAGTAGGTTTCTAGTTTTGAGGGATTAACCCCTTGAGGAGGAGGAGTTTGTTGTAATTCCTCTAGACTGTACGTCTCTCTGTCRAAACAGRAAAAAGATTGATGTCAAAACTTACTCAAAATAATATGCGCTTTATTATAGGTTCGTATGTGTGAGAATCTTACTGKAAGATATCGTACGAAACCGTTTGAACAATAGAGCTACGAAATAACATTAATCGTAAATTGGAACTARCTGTTAGTCTTCTCCTTATAACGAAAAATGTACTATGCAACTTCGATGAGACTACAATACGACATACGACTTCGTTTGAACAACCTTCTCGAATTCCCCCACCCTTTGACAATCAAAACTATTCTTAATTAAAACTAGTCTTAAATCTCCCGCCCTTTGATATTTAAAACTATACTTACTTCGTGAATTGATTCAACAGTTCTAACACCAAATGCCTGGTTCCAGGTTGCTTGCCGGTCTGCAGTTACAAGAAAAGATTATTAGATCATGTAGATCATATGCTCGACTAGAATATACTTCAGAGAAAAGATAACTTCATTATGAACTGGGTATTTTTTAATTCAGTAAGTGACTTCACTTACTTTCTTACGGTGTTAAATTTATCTCTTTACACATCAATCGTTTTTATATACCTCTTTTTGAATTGAAGTAATATAAGGTTTGTCKGACCACATGGGAAATGCAACCTTGAACGACATTGGCTCGAGACCCGCGTAAACCACAWACACACGATGGGAAATGCGTTTACCAGCCTCTGGAAGAAAAATTCATTATGAGTTTGAAATAACAACCAAAGAACGCAAAATAGCAAGTCAAGTATTACCTTCAGCGTACTTGATAGCTGTTTCCATGGCAAGCTTTCTATCGGTATCCCATCGTTGTCTTCCCGTTCCAGTCAGGGAGTCCAGGTCATTTTCTGGTATCCAGCCTTCCCAGACATAGACCTCGAAGTGGAAATCCAACAGAAATAATGCTGTACAAGATTGAACGATAGATTTAATTTTAAAAAGAGTGATACGACTGGGGAGTGTATACAAGGAAACAAAACCCCACCACCACTAACAACAACAACAACAATAACGGCAAGGACAACAACAACAACAGTATACTATCACCACTTCTACAAGATACCTGGCTGTGGCGTGCCATACAAATCATCCTGCAAGAACGGAAACATGTCAACTTTGCCATCTACTCGCGACGGGTTCAWTATTTCGTTTGATAGAAATTTTCCTGTTGCGCTGGTGAGYTCGAATAGTCTTGGAGTAAATTGTTGAGGAGAAGGATCTGAAGATTGAAAATAATATCCTTATTTGGATATCAAGATTATAATAGAACTTCATCGATGTCTGTCGTTACCTTTAATAAGACTACAATAATACTTTTTTCCTCCTAAAGCTTTGAAAAATGCATCTGGTTCTTTGGATTCTTCGACTTCTATTAGAYTRATTGATAACGTAKTTTCGATGTTACATTCTAAGGGTTTCCTGAAATGAGATAGATACAGACTTTGTAACATGAACACTAAATAACGCAATAATAACCGCCAGTCGTACTTTTCCTGCATCAGCTTTGCGGCAGCCAACACGTTTCTTCTACATCCTTCTGTAGCTTTACAGCCATACCATACATACATCTCCTCTTCACGGCAAAGCAATAGAATAAAACACCCTCTTGATCGCAGAGAWGAACACCTGAAAAACAACACCATGTTGGATTGCAATACAATGGTTCGAGTCTCTACTTATGGGTTATGGGTTTATTTATATGCAGAAGGTATTTGAAACCTGCTCTCTTTTCAACGTTGTAATGGGTGGATGATTTTAATTGTAGATAAAACCTTTTTAAATGAATGCATATATGYACATAAAACAATGGATTAACAAACAGCCAAATCAATTACGATAACGAAATTGTATATCATATATAAACAAGATTACTTACGTTGCTTTAACTTGCACTAAACATCCTTCACCCGATTCTTCGTTTCGTAGACAGTAAAGACGAATTATAGATGTGTCTGAATTTATCAATAAAAGACGATTTAAATTGTTATTAACACTAGATAAAAACGATAAAAAATCGTAACAAAAAATTAACAGCTAATAAAATATGGATAAGTTAAAATACCAGAAGAACAATAACAATAAATTATGTAGTTACCAGAAAGTCGTTCAATGTTTTCTGAGACATGAGATTTTCTGTAAAAAAATTACAAACAGAATTTCTTAACAAAATACATATTATATACACAATAGTGTCAATACGTGCAAAATATACGATTATACAACGTACAAAAAGAACATGCGACTAAATCAACTTCTTTCAAATAAYAACTGCTAGTATTTGAAAAGAGGAATTGCATTCTGACGGCAACAAATACAAGCACAACTATCATTTAGAAAGTTTCCATCAAAATCTAATTAATTCATATTATATCGATAATCAACTCATGCAACATATCAAAGTCCCACGTGCATCCATGATCTGCGATTGAAAGTAGCTTTGTGATTGGTTCAGAATTAAAGATGAGAAAATCGTAAAGATTCTTGGATGCACGTGGACCTAACATATCAACAATAAAATTATCATCAAACCATGCAACATGCACGAATGGTGAATGATGGCAGGCACGTCCGCGTACAAGTAAGTAACTTATATTTACTGATTATAATATCAAGAATCACATTTTATGATTACAATTACAGGACTACATTTATCAAACTACTTTAAGAACTTAGTGTCGGCCTTTAAAGTTAACTTACGCATCGACGTCGAACCAACACTTGGAAGTACTATTATGAAGACAGAACATCGTTAACAGTCAGCAATCGTTTATAGTTATCATTGTACTCTTCTAACTTAACTTTTTCCCAGTTAGAGAATTTAATTTTTCTAGCTACATGATATATTAATTTTAGTATAATTTCATTACGATAAATTATACTGTTTTAGTGTCAAAGGTAAAAAGAAGGAAGAGAAAAACACAAACAAACAAACAAAGAGAGAAAGGGAAAAAGGAAGGGAGAAAAAATAATAGAAAGACTAGTATTCAAGAAGACAACTTTTAACTTATAAAGCTGTTCTCCTTAAAAGTTCTTTGAGTCCTGTGGTAAAGAATCTTGTGAAGATAAATGGTTGGAGTGAGATGTAAATAGCATGTGTTGRAGTGAGATGTAAATAGCATGACTTGGAGTGAATCACTGCATTCAAAAACTCTTCATGTATAGCATCAAAAAGTGCTTACTTTCCCGCGTGTATCATCATGCCTCCYTTAAAGTGATTAAGGAACGACGGKGGTTCTTTGCCTTGAACCACACGAACCTGGAACCAAAATGTTGTCTGTATTAAGTCTTGAGTGGTTTTCTCATTTTATAAACTATCTAACTATCAAAGGTATGACGGTAAAAGCGAATCAAAATCAACGAAGTCTGACTGCTTGTCAATCAAAATTGTCTGTCCAATGTCTAATGCTGTCCGATCGTTTAGTCAGCCGTTTTAGTGTACACGTCTACCGGTACAGTGGGTGTCTGTTTCGTGCTGTCTACTATGAACTAAGGTCTGTCTCGTGCTGTCTACTTTGAACTAAGGCGGGTGTCTGTCTCGTGCTGTCTACTTTGAACTAAGGCGAGTGTCTGTATCGTCCTGTCTACTATGAACTAAGGTGGATGTCTGTTAATCTATCTGCTAATCTATTCTAATGACAACACAAGGTACCTGAGGTCCTCTCTCCTCGTCTAGTTCAACAGCCATCACGGCAGCTGCTCCTTTCTCGTTCACCGTACARTCATTACCCTGCCAAAAATAATACGCAGTGCGCACGCGCCCAGCGATGGTCGATCGACATCGAGACTTCCGGTCTTTAGCGATACGATCATTCATGACGTAATAGGCCCATCGTATGACGTATCCCTCACCTGGCAAGACCAGGACAAACTGATTAGCAATGGTCGAAATACATCATAACTGGGACAAGTTAGAGTCGACCGTGGAAAGATGTCAAAGACGTGCTTACCAGAATGGAAATGCCCCGCATTCGCTGGAGGTAACTCGTAATGTCGATATTCATTGATATGCCATACAGTTAAACCCACAGTAGAACAAAGATTGCCTTCTTTATAGTAGTCCCCAGTCCATCGCGTCGGTACACCGTGACCACGCCCTACGTTAACGCCTTCGAATGTTTCTCCTTTGGTTGGTTCTGGGTTAGTCAACATGACTTTAGGATCRCAAGGCTTTAACTCTACAGGAATGTGTTTCTAAAATCAAATAAAAGTTTTTATCAAACTATGTATACTTATACAGCTGTAATTGGTGATAAGTCTCACCACTGTACGATTTAATGCCCAGTAGTAAAGTCGGTTTACCTTGATAATTAATTCCCCACTGCTAGGATGTCCTTTCATTTTGATAATCTTTGTAGGATCAGGCCAATCAAGGAATTTTTCTCTAAACAGAATCGTTTCGGCTTTTTCGTGCAGCCTTGCAAATAGAGCCCATGGGGGTCGTGCTGGGGAAGTCTTGTTATCGTCGTTATTGGGCAATGGTTCTTGTCCTTTACCGTATGGGTAAAGTGGATTGTAAATTCCATTAGGCTCAAATGGACTTTCAAAAAGCTGTTTCCCAAGGGCGAAGACCGTTTTTCTTTGACCCGATAATGAATGCTGGCCATTCCACACGTATAACTCCGAGCCAAAATCGAAAACTAACACCTGATAAAACAATGAAATGACAAATAATTTATGAAAACTGCCACTTGACTTCATTAATCATGTCCATTTGAGAGGAATTGGGCTTTTGGCTTTTAGGGTACCGACTATGACAGAGGGAGGGAGATATGAGGATATAATGGTGGGTTTACAAGCGTGATCTTATTAATTCATTATGAGATAGCATTGCCGGTAAAAACTGTTCAGGACAAAAGACTGACTTCACTCTATAAGAATTCAATGGCAAACGGTACCTCTTTTGTATCTAGTATAGAGACTTGTGGCAGACGTCCACACATTGACTCTACTGGAACTAATGACGGAGGCTCAGTCCAGTGAACTTTGTACACCATATTGGTCCTGATCATTCCCTTCTCATACTCCTCGTCAACAGGCATTGAATCAGCAGCTGCAACAATGAATACACGCGTGAAACAAAACTTAAGATTCTTCGCAAAAACAGACATGACATCATCAGTGGAAAGAACCAATGGGAACACTCGATTCTCATACCTCGGATGTCGTCTCCAGGATCACCATTGAGAACATTCCAGAACTTGTTGGAGCCTTTCAATTTTTCTGGGTCCTTTTCCCTCTCCTCGATGAAAGTAATATCACGAGCCTTGCAGTCCAACTCACGCTTTGTAAAAATACGAGAAGCGATTTCTGTGACCTGCGTACAGAAACAATATTAATAAACCTAATCCTAAWATGATTATAGTAAACAAAAAAACGTACCTTTGCTCTTTCKATAGCGTTAGCATCCTTMCCRACCCAAGCAAACARGTCTTCTTTGGTGACAAGGACAAAACAGTCYCCGGAGTTTAGCGATTTCTGACARGGCTCRATCAAACGTGTCTGCATATTTCTTCTACCTGTACAATGTAATAATAACAAGAGTTTTGAGATATGGAGGTTTTGTACAGTATAGATGTAGGAATTGCTTAGAAAATTCTACTTTTATCAGACGAAACTGCACGAAAACGTGTCGGGCTCCAATACGCATGACAATGACCTCGCAAGAAGAAATTTAGCAACCAAGGGACTTAAGGAATCTCCATGACGCTCATAAATATGTTAGAAAATCTCGAGATGCTTTTCAGCAGGGGGTCGTTGACACAAAGTGTTATATTCTGATGATATCATAGTATCTTAGTAGACAAAACAAGACCTGATAAAACTGTTAAACATCACC